GAAAGATAAATGCTGGCGTGGTTGTGGAGAAAAAGGAACTCTCTTACATTGTTGGTGGGAATGCATAATGGTGCAACCCCTATGGAAAATGGTTTGGAGGTTCCTCAAACAGCTGAAGATAGATCTATCATACGACCCAGCTATCCCACTGCTGGGAATATATCCAAAGGAATGGAAATCATCAAGTCGAAGGTTTACTTGTTTCCCAATGTTCATTGCAGCTCTGATCAATTTTCAACACAAAAAGGTAGTACTTGTGGAGGCCTTTCTTGTCACATTTTAGCCCAGAGCAAATTTTTATAGACAGGTTATCAACTCGATGAACAATGGAGTTTACAATAAAAATGCTAATACAGATCTAAGAGAGAGTGCCTGGGAGACCTGCTTCCTGAATTTTCTTTAAAAAATGTCAGGCAATTTGTGCATGATTTCTTTATTGGGTCAGATTCGGGCTAGTTCTAAAGACGTGTGCCTTAAAATGTACAGCCAGCACTTTTTTCTAAGCCATGATTCAATGGAACATTTCAGGTATGGGGGCCTATTGCTCTTTTACTGAATATTAAAATCTAATAATTATTTCTAGAAACCCATAAAACTGCTAAGAATTTTTTAAAGAGTAAGTAATCATATTTTCTGGACTATTAACAAACCATCTTTTATGTGTTGGGCAGCTTTTCCTGGACTCGTAATGGCACTCATTTTGACATAGATAAAGACCCACTAGTCACCATGAAGCCTGGCTCAGGAACGCTCATAATCAACATCATGAGTGAAGGGAAAGCAGAGACCTATGAAGGCGTCTATCAGTGCACGGCGAGAAATGAACGCGGAGCTGCGATTTCTAATAACATCGTCATCCGCCCATCCAGTAAGTGGGACTTGTCAACCAAACATGACCCTTTTTAAAGTATTGCTCCAAGACTCAGCATCTGTTCCATCATCCGAATACTATTACAAGAAAGCAATGGCATTGCGTCTGATATTCTGACCTTGTATTGCAGGAAAATTATTGCTCCTTTCCACTTTAGCCTAACAAACTCCTCAGACTAATGCTTTGCAGATCCAATATATCTTTCATACAAGTAGTCCTGAATAAAACAGCAGAGTTAAGAAAGAAGCATTTCTACCCAGAATTGATCTAATTATTTATTTCTCATGTATCTTATTTATTCCTATGGCCAGATAGAAATAAACTCAGTATGACATGGGTAATTGAGGTCTAGGTGTTACTACTTTAAACATTTTTGTTTCAAACTTTCCCTGGAAATAGAGTGTCCTCACTATATTAATATTATTGTTGCTCTTTTTGCAGTGGGCAGTACCAAAATCCTCTCAACAATCTCAAGAGCATGTATTTAAAGAACAGTGCCTATTTGCAGTAATGGTCATTTTTAAAACTTTTTTATTATAGATGTAATATGGGTTCATTATAGAAAAAGTAATTACAGATAAACGAAAAAGAAATGTAAATATTACTTATGAATCTTTCCATTAAAGGAAATAACTACTACTCAAATATTCTTCACATTTTTTTCTAGGCAGATATGTAGGTATGTGTTTAAAACCAGCTCATTCTGAAATACTATTTTACAGTCTTTTCTTACTTATTGATATGTCATGAATATTCTCATATCAATCTTATAAATAAATATACTTATGTAATACTGTATGGTATTCAAAGGTATAAGTATACAATTACTTATTTAACAAATCTTTTGACATTTAAATATTTTTCATTCTCTTGTGAACAGCATGCTTACATCAAAATTATATGTCTTCTTGATGATTATTTAGTATAAATTCTTACATATGTGATCACTGGGTTAGAATTTATACTGTTAGTGGCAGTGAATGAGAATTTTTTACTATCCTTTACTTTTTTAATTTTTAACACTATACTTAAAAACTATTTTCTCATTAATTTATTGTACATAAATTCCAAATGACTATTTCCCTGGAAGTTTAGTTTGCCTTTCTTTATAGAGCTATCTCTTTATATTTTTCATTGCAGAAATAACTTAGAAGTTTTTTTATTAATTCAATAGGGTCACCCTTGTGGACCAAAGAAAAACTTGAACCAATGATACTTCGAAATGGTCAACCTTTAGTACTTCCCTGTAGACCCCCAATTGGATTACCACCACCTATAATATTTTGGATGGATAATTGTAAGTTTTAACAATATGAACTTTTTTAAAGAGTCTTATGATTATTTACTGTCATAATAAAATATTGCCTCTTGTGATTCATAAAATGTTTTAGAGATGCTCAGGGAAGTAGCAATCCATTGAAATAAATAACATGTCATTTCATTCATTCACTCCATTTTATTGAGCACTTACTATGTGCCAGACACTGATCTAAGTAAACCAAGCAAATATCCTAGTCACTGAGCTTAGATTCTATGTAGTGGGAATGGAAGGGCATAGGGAAGGAGGTAGACAATAAATGCATTTAGCAAATCTGTATCAGTTGGCAATAAGTGCTATGAAGAAAAATAAAGCAGAGTTGTGAGCAGAGACCTAAAAGAATGAGAACAAGCCAGGCCACTAGATGTCTGAGTGGAAAGCGAACACAGGTGCAAGCCTAAGCTCCTAAGGTAGGAGCATCCCTGGAGTGTGTAAAGAAAAAAAAAAAAAGGCAAAGAGTCAATCAGTGTGGCCAGACTGAGGGAGTCAAGGGAGAGAGTGATGGACAAGGTCAGAAAGGTCACAAAGACTCAGTGGAAAGGGCTTTGGCTTTTGCTCTCAGTAAAGTAGGAAAACATGGAAGGATGACTTTATCTGAAATAAAATAAATAGTAATAATATCACTTCAGTTCATGTGTGGAGAATATAGGTGACAAAAGACAGAATGGGGACTGGTTAGGGGGCCAGTGCTGTAATCCAAAGAGTTGATGGAGACTTGTCTTTGGGTGATAGCAGTAAAGTAGGTAAAAAGTGGTCGGATTCTGGATATGTTTTGAAGGTAGAGGCACCAGGATTTAGTGGGGTAGTGTGGGAGCATAAGAGAGAAGAATCAAGGACAACTGCAAAATTCGGAGACTGAACGACTGATAAAATGGAACTGCCATTTCCTGAAACAGCAGAAGCCTAGAATGGGGAGGGAATTAAGCTGTTTTGGATGTGTTATGTTTTTGTTTGTTTTTTAATCCCCAACACAGCTAGTATGTATTGGGCCTTTACTAAGTTCCAGTTGCTTTGCTAAGGACTTTACATGGGTTGTCCCATTAATTTTTTACAATAACCCTATGAGCTATGTCCAATTATTCTTTCCTCTTCCACGTGAGGAAATGGAGGCAAAAAGAAATGAAGCCCTCCATTAGGCAACTTCAAATTTGTCTACCCCACCCCTATCCTTGAGGGAACTGTATGCTGGTCTGCTTCCTCCACCCTCCAAAATTTCCTGTGCTAGTAGGTTAACTCGTAACCTTAAAGGTAGCACATGGCTCTGCTTGGACAATAAGGAACCAGAGCTTGGGATGTGAGGGGCCTGTAAGACAGTCAAGTCTAGATGCCCAGCAAGAGGCGGGGATATGAGTACTGCATCGGAAGGAAGATTCAGGACTCCAATCAGCAGTGTATGAATCGCTCACACATAGGTGCACCTTACAGCCCCGACTGGGTGAGAGGACTTAGGGAGGGGGAGCAGGAGGTGGAGACCAGGAACCCCCAGAGGCCAAGAACTTAGGGAGAAACCAGCAAGCACATGAGTAGGAGAAGTCACTGAGGTAAAAAGAGAACAAAGGCGTCCTTCACCAAGGACAAGGTGAAGAATGTGTGTCAAGAAAACAGAATGATCAGCTGTTTCAAATGCTGCTAAAGGTCAGATAACACAGCCACTGAGAAATGACCACTGGATTTGCAACATAGAGGCCGTTGATGAACTTGACCAGAATCATTTAGGTGGAATGGTGGGAATGAATTCAAAATATTTGTGGAAATACATTCTATCCTCAGTAACCCCATTTAACCTGGAACCAGAGGCTATGCACATTGTAAAGAGAAAATTTGGCTCTAACATTTAATCTATATTTTTGACTCTTCTTATGTGAAAGCACTCAAAATATCACAAAGAAATGAAAACATAAATTAAATGCACAAATGTATTTTTCCTGTCATTACATAACAGCTTTCACAGACTTTGAGAGAATAAGTAACAAGCCAAATATAAATGAGCGATTTATGACTTCAAGAATAACACTCAACAAATGTCATTGCTAACTGAGGCCCAGTATTTGGTCCTTGATTCTTATTCAGAAATGATGACCTTTCTGCTTAATAAAGGGACATATCACATGTAAAGTCTCAGAATCATCTGAATACGTAACTAATTTTTTTCCCACATTGCACAGCTAGCTATGTCATTTACATACATTTTAGGCTTTTGATAAAGTATCTGACCTTTCAAATATAATTGCATCTGGAATATGAGAAAAAATTTAAATCCACATAGTATTCTTCTTGCAAGATGATGTTATGAAGTTATTCTTGTCTGCATACATTTTTTTCAAATTCAGAGGAAATAAAGGGCAAAATGCTACCACACTCGTGAAATCCCATTGCCTTATATGTAATCTACCAGCACCCATCAGTAGTAAAACACAGCAGCAGAAACAGAAGACAATAAATGTATGGTTGTCTTTGCATTCATTAAATAAATATACTTTATTTTTCTGAGTTATTTTTAAAACAGTCCTTTCCTTAGGGACTAATGGTTAAAAATTATGAATTTGCAATTACCAACCAAACCCCCATCTTGACCAAGAACTTGGTTAACATGACTAGCCAGTGTTCTTTTAAGCTCTGACTCCACGTTTCTCTGTCTTTTCCTGCCCAAGGGAGCTGCAGGCTTTTAAGCATAATTTTGCATTTGTGAAATGTTATATACCAGGAACCTGCCACAGGAGGAACATACCCACTTGATTCAAACTGGAGAAATACTGCTTAAGGACATAACACCTGGCTTGAGGCCACTGAGATGTGCAAATTTTCCCAGTTCTCTCACCTTAGAGCTGAAGAACTGTCACAGTTAAGGCTTCAGTGAACTGAGTCAGTAACTTCAGGATGTATTTTAGCTGGCCAAGTGTAAATTCACACACAGATCCTTGCATTTACCCCACCTCCCTGCATCCTTCATCTGCTAAGAAAATCTTCCCTCCAAATAAGTTCTGGTACTCTATTGCATAATAGAGTGACTATAGCTAAAAATAATACATTGCATATTCAAATAGCTAGAAGAGAAGATTTTGAATGTTTTCACAACAAAGAGATGATAAATGTCCAAGGTGACAGATACACTCATTACCATGATTTGGTCATTACATGTATTGAAAAATATATACACGTATTGAAAAATTACATTATACCCCATAACTACGTACAACTATTATGTGTCAATAAAAAAGGAAAGAAAATAAAATCTTCCATCAATGCCTAAGTCTAGGCAGTTTCTTCACTGAACCTGAGGAGAAGTAAATTGTCATGCTTGAAACTGGAAAGTCAGAGTACCAATGGTTATTCGTTTAATCTTTTGAGTATTCAAAGGAGCCCCTGTGAAGGGCGGGCTCTGTTCCAGTGCTATAACAGTGGAGAAAGCAGATGAAGGTGTCTGCCCTCCTGGAGCTTAAATTCTAGTAAAGGGAGATAGGCAATAAGTCACACATATGACTAGTAAAATATGTCATATGCCAGAACATGGTAAGTAATTCAGAAAAGAAAAAGTAAAGGAGGTGAGGGAGACAGGGTGTTGGGGGCTTCTGAGAGGCAGGTCAAAGCATTAAAAAGTGTCATCGTTGCACCCTGTAGTTAATTGTTTGTGTTTTGCCTGATTCTTCAATTAGGACAGGAGCTCAGACAGAGCTGGGGCTCTGGAATGCCCAATGCCTGGCGCAGGGCCTAGCTCGCAGTTATGTGCTCTCCACGTACTGGGTTTCTGACCGTTGTGTGCAGGTGCAACCCATGTTAACATCCTTATAAGCTTCCTTCATGCATTTTCTAAGATATGCGTGTTTATGAGTTTAACAGTCAGGGACTAATTTAAATATTAGGAAAAGTCGTACAAACTTTTTGTAAAAAACTTTTTTGTTGACACTTGCTTAATAAAACACTTCACTGTATGACTCTAATCTTGCCTCTGTCCCCACCCCTGAGAAATTAGGGTTGGGCAGATACAGTTGGAGTTTTAGTATATCGTGTATTTTTTTTAACAGTTAATTTGCTTTTACTCAAAGAGCTTTATAGAGAAAAAGTATATTCAAGTGAAGTTCACAGAACTATTAGTAGACATGTCTATCTTGCTAATTTGGAAGAGTGGCCCTTTTATGATGGAATGATCTGGATCTCTCTCTGCCTTTCACCAGCCTTTCAAAGACTTCCACAAAGTGAGAGGGTTTCTCAAGGTCTGAATGGAGACCTTTATTTTTCTAATGTCCTCCCAGAGGATACCCGCGAAGATTATATCTGTTATGCCAGATTTAATCACACTCAAACCATACAGCAGAAACAACCTATTTCTGTGAAGGTGATTTCAGGTAAGAGTTCAGCTTCCTGATCTCTCTTTCAATAATGTTTACAAATATGTGCAAGATATATTACCTTTTAAATACTACTGACTTCGAAGTAAACAGATTCATTGATCAGGAATCTACCATGAATGATCACTAAAGTGCTGGCATATGTGTTATAAAGAGCATGCATACCCGGGCCGGCCAGGTGGCGCACTGGATAGTGCGCCGCTTAGGAAGCGCGGCGGCGTGTGCCGCCCGAGGGTTCGGATCCCACACACAGACCGGCTCCCGCTCACTGGCTGAGCGAGGTGCGGGGGCAACGCCGAGGGTTGCAATCCCGCTGCCGGTCCCTGGTCCGGTACGGGGGCAACACTGAGGGTTGTGATCCGTTGCCGGACACGGAAAAAAAAAAAAGAGCATGCATACCCTAAATATTGTATTTTACTTTTTTTGCTGTTATTGCCATGACTGTTTTCATGGTAACCTTCTGAATCACTTGTGTTCTGAGCATTTGTGTGTGCTTTATGCCCCACAATGCCTTTTATTAGCAGTCCTGCATCTGAAGTTGTATTTTCATGTATTACTGGTTAGGGGTGGCTGAGTGAATTAATGAGTTAGTCATGTACGATGTGAAGCACTGTTTTTATTGGTAGGGAGGGCACTTGATCAACATAGCTGTATACATTTGCTTTTGTTGCCCAATATTTTTTGACCCTTCTCCCCTACTTTTGCACCCTCTTCATAATATTCTGTTTATTTCAGTGGATGAATTGAATGACACTATAGCTGCTAATTTGAGTGACACTGAGTTTTATGGTGGTGAGTTTATGGTGATTGTAACTGATATTCTTTCCTTCATTGTAGAATTTAGTTCACTAACTTCACCTCCATGGCTACTTAACTTTATTTCTTTATGAAATTTCCTAGTTATGTGTTTAATACCACTAGTGTAAATGTATGTTTTTTATGAAATCTAGCTATAAACTTTCAAGCATGTCACTAAAACATTTTCCATGATGTATGTATAACAATGAAACTTGTAACTGTTTTCATGTAAAGAACCACTTCACATGATTTAGAAAAAAATCTTTATATATGTTCAGAATTATATTTTCCATTTTTTGTCCTGTTCATAAACTTTTCTCATGAACTAAATAAGGATTAGCAAGGGTACATTAACCTACTGTCATAGTGACTCATCAAAGCCATTAACTAACATTAGGTGGATTTCATACTAAATCATCACATTTCCCATCTGTTTTTATATGACATTATCAATATAATTAGTGATAGTGTTTCTCTTAGTTTTGTTTAAAACCAAGTCACTTTCTTCAGTAGGAGTAATATTTTTAAAATAGAGCATTAACCTTTATTCTTTTAAGTAGAAAAGAATTTGGTTTACTTAAGGGAAATATGGCTCTCAAGCATAGACTCATTATCAATGAAAATAATGGGTTCTGGATATAAGATCCCCTGAATTGTCCATAAGGCAGAATTTCTGCTATATTTATTTTTCACCCTTGAGATATGAAGTAAAAAAAATTAGGGTATCATTGGCGACCAAGTTAGACATGCCACAACTCCTGCTTTTGTTTTATTTTACTTTATTTTATTTTATTTTAATACACACCTGAAAAATATGGCCCTCAAGACCATTCCCAAAATGTTTTCAGAGGAATAAGTATTCCCCTATGATCTCTAAATTTTTAGTAAAACTAATTTCTCTCAAGTAATACCTTTTCTGGTATTCATTTTTTTCTTCTGAGAAATGAGGATAATTCACGTATTATCTTTTCGTTCAGTTTATATGAGCATCAAATAGATAATGCTTTAAAGTATTGAAAACCAACAAGGGCTATAAGACCTTAAGATGGTACAATTTCTACGTTAGTTTTCCTGAGAGGCCTTCAGACGATAAGGCTGCACTTTGGAAAGATCTCCATAAAAAAGATGGTGATCTGTGAACATATTCTTCAGATCTCTGACTTGGACCCTCTTTATTTTTTCATTGAGGAAACCGATTTCAATTTATTTAACTCTGCCATTATTCTTAATTGATGGCATATAATTTGCCAAACCGGCCCCCAAACCTCTGTCTTTAACTCTCTAGTTTTGTTTTGTTTTCCACAAACCTTGCAGTTTGGGGAGGAGGGGAGGTTGATATGATTAATCAGTGGAATTGACTATAGTGTTTTCCCCAGAGTAAACCAAAATACCTCTTCCATAGCTATACCTTTCTGAAAAACCTAACATCTTCCAGAAGATAGACACTTTTTTACTTTGACCTGAGCACAAATGTTAAGGGATATGTAGTTTGAAAACATGATTTTCTTCTCTGTGTTGACATTTCGAAAATTTGCAACCCACAGAAAATTCGTAAAAACCTAACCCAAGGGCCGGCCCGGTGGCACACTGCTACAGTGCGCCGCTTGGGAGCGCGGCAGCACTCCCGCCGAGGGTTCGGATCCCACATACAGACCTGCCGCTCACTGGCTGAGCGAGGTGCGGGCGCAACGCCGAGGGTTGCGATCCCATTGCCGGTCCCAGTCCGGTACGGGCGCGACACTGAGGGTTGCGATCTGTTGCCGGTCACGAAAAAAGGAAAAAAAAAGGAAAAAAAAAAAAAAAACCTAACCCAAATTAAGGAAATGTACACAAAGAAAATAGTCCTTACTATTAGTGTTTATGCAGCCAAAATCATTTGTATTCCTGGTTAACTGAGTGAATGATGACTATTTGTAAGGCAGAGAGTATGTACATGTAGTTTAACAAATTTCACAATCAATGTTAAATGGTTTTGGAAGAGAATTAGAATTTTAGGCAGCTTTTTTGACAGTGAACTGTGCTTCTAGAAATACATATTCATAAGTTTTAACACATATTGTTTTTCTTGTTTGCAGCTAAATCAAGTAGAGAGAGACCTCCAACATTTTTAACTCCAGAAGGCAATGCAAGTAACAAGGAGGAATTAAGAGGAAATGTGCTTTCACTAGAGTGTATTGCAGAAGGACTGTAAGTTAACACTTTCTGTCTTGATGTACATTTCTTATAAAAATATAGGAGATTTCTAAACAGGTGTTAATGTTACAGGAAGAGCCACTGTCTCATACTAATTCCATGAAGCATCGAGAAGAATTTAGCAGGGTTGGCCTGTTAGCTCGGTTGGTTAGAGCACAGCTTTATAACACCAAGATCAAGAGTTCAGATCCTTGTACCAGCAAGCTGCCAAAAAAAAAAAAAATTAGTAATTGTTTCCAAAGTATTGTTAAAATATTTTGCTAATATAATAGTGTTCATATTAAAATAAGTATCAGTAATCACCTTATGATTGCTATGATTACAATTAGGGTGCATTACTTTGCTATTTTTTAACAAACCCGCTCAAAACTTAGTGGCTTAAAAATCGTAGCTACTTATTATTAATCCTTTGTCTAGAGGTCTGCGAGGCAGTTGTGCTGTAACTGGCGAGGTCTGGCTGATCTCAGCTGAACACGTTCACATATCTGCTTGGTGGCTCAGCTGTGGGTTCACAACTCTCATGGTCTCCTGGCTGTTAGTTGGGGTAACTGAGCTGTTGACCATGAGTTTCTCACATCCTTGTAGCAGTCTCACCCTGGCTTATTCTTCTAACAATAGAAGTGCACAGGGCCTCTTAGTGCCTACCCCTGAAACGGCACACTGTCCCGTCCATGACATCGTATTGGTAGGTTACAAAGCCAAGCCCAGATTCACTAAAATGTCTCACATGTGCACATCTCAAAACTGAAGCCACCCCAGAACTGATGTGCTTTTGACAGGAGTTGCAGGGAGGCCTCACGCAAATACAAGAGCAACTGTATGTTAGATCCTCATCACAGACAAGTTTCTCTATGGTCTCTGCCTTATGCCTGGTGGAGAGCAAGTACCAGAGGCATGGGCACATCTGCTGAAAACCTTGAATGGAATCTTAGAAACATTCTGCCTTCGCAGGTGTGATCTGTGCCATCCTTGACCTGGGTAACTCATTGGTCTCACATTCTTTCCTGAATCCAAGAGTAACTTCACTTCAAGAGGCACATGGAGGCCTCTGCTGGCCAAGTGAGGAAATCACAGGGTACATTATTCAGTTCCCCAAGCAACTGAAAACTAGCAAAACCCCTTTTTAAATAAGGTAAAAATTCATCTTTTCCACCAGAATTTTTTTTTAAAGCTTCCAATTTTTCATCATCATTATGTTGGAGAGTGGTTAACCTACTAATCTTCAACCTTTTGAGAGCAGAAGTACCCATTCTCATAATTTAGTAACTCCTTTTTCTGTAAATGATATGTTTTATGAAAACTAAAATATGGTCAGTATTTGGAAATTTTGCAAAACTCCTGAAAGAATTTTAAAAACTTTGGAATGTTGTAAGACCAGGATTGGGACTCTGTCACTTACAAACCAACAAGTATTAGTCTCATAGAATCAAACTATTTCTGATGCTTAACAACTACTCAGTAGAGTAATAAGCCTACAAAGCAATTCATGGCTTTCTGATGTTTAGACTATGATGTTGTGCTTTTATCCCCACCCCCTCTCATCTTCAGATTATATGAGATGCCGATTAGCCTCCTATAAGGAAACATTATAAATTATCAGATTTCATATGTTTATAGTCCTTCAGTTTTTCAGAATGGTTTCACATCTTCTCTCTCTTTTTATATTCACAGAATGTTTTGATTTTAGAAGCTATTCCATCAGATATACATGCTTGGTTATTTTTATTCAAGTAAACAAGCCAAAGCCAATTCCACAAAAAATCAATTAATCCCTCCTGCATTTCTAATGACAAATACAGTATTGTGATCTTCCTGAGGGCCTGGACCACACTTTTTTGAACATTATCTTTCCAGCACACAGTTCTGTGCTCAGTAGATAATTCAGTGCTTGGGAAATGTTTGCATAGAATGGATTTTTATTTTACCCTGCGAAAACCCTCTAAAGTCATTAGATCAAGTCAAGCATAATTATCCCCATCAAGGCAACTAAAAAAACTAAGGCCCAGGATAAGAGAGAAATTTAGCAACAGGGCTGGGACTTTGAGAATCTTCCACTATGGCTTTTCATCTGTCTCCATATTTCATGATTTAATAAGAAACATAGTTGGGTGAGAAATTGTGTGAGTAATACATGAGTTTGATTTATTCTTATCAATTGGCATAATAATATCTTTAGATATCACTAATAATAAAATTAAGGAAAGAATGCTATTCCTCTAATTTCTTAATTCATATCATCAAATAGCCTGTTATAAAATAGAAAATAGGGCCGGCCCGGTGGCGCACTGCTACAGTGCGCCGCTTGGGAAGCGCGGCAGCGCTCCCGCCGAGGGTTCAGATCCCACATACAGACCGGTTCCCGCTCACTGGCTGAGCGAGGAGCGGGGGCAACACCGAGGGTTGCAATCCCGTTGCCGGTCCCGGTCTGGTGCAGGCGCGACACTGAGGGTTGCGATCCGTTGCCGGTCACGAAAAAAGACAAAAAAAAATAAAATAAAATAGAAAATATCTTCCACTTGATATGGAAATGTGTGTAAAAGTTCATGGGCACAAAAATGTGTATGAGCTCTTTCTCTGTGTATTTTTAACTCTAGCTGATGAAAAATTATAATTTAGTATTATTAATTTAATGGTAATTATTTTGATTGACATAGTACCATCATATAAAAATTTCCAAGGGTTCCTCATTGGTCAGAACTTTGAAGAAAATACCTAGGTCCCTTCAATAGAGTATCTCATGCTAGCATTCACACTGCGTTATCGAAGTCAAAGTTTGTGATGTGTCATAAATTAGTATACTTCTGATTATGTGAAAGTGCAAAATTTTGAGCATTTTTATATAAGTGTAGTGCTAGTTGGAATGTTTACCTATTTCTCATGATCTTTATATAAAATCTTGTTACAAACTTGCATGAAAATTCACCCTCAAAATCCATCACAGGTTAATTTCTTTTTTCGTAACATCACTATTTATTTATCCTATCAGGCCTACTCCAATTATTTACTGGATAAAAGAGGATGGAATACTACCAATCAACCGGACATTTTATAGGAACTTTAAAAAAACCTTGCAGATCATTCATGTTTCAGAAGCAGATTCTGGGAATTACCAATGTATAGCAAAAAATGCATTAGGAGCCATTCATCATACCATTTCTGTCACAGTTAAAGGTACATTGTCATTTAAAATGCATTCCTCTTGCCTTCAAGAGAGGCCCTGAAACTTCAATTAAATATGTCTTTATGTTCTTCAGTAATGATAAATGTAAATTTATGTTAACGTTGTGGTGAATCTCTTCTCGTTACTATTTTTTTCATTGCTATTTATAGTGCATCTAAATCAGATTCCAATTAATAAATGTAGAAGGAATGAGGGAAATAGAAAATCACCATTAGAATCCCACGGTAGTAACTGCTGTAGGCAAGATCTACCAATGAAGGCTCAAATTAGTGGGTGAAACTTTAAGGAGAAAGAGGATATTTGCATAGCTCCAAAGTGTTTCTCTACACCAAAAATTAATGACTGGGGCAGTTTTAACATATGCCCACAAATTTTTTAACACTCCTTCAGGGAGATGGAGCATGCTTCTCCCCTTAATTGAAGGATGGACCTAGTGACTCACTGCTAACGAACGCAATATGGAATGCAGGGAAATAGTAACTTTGCAGTGGAGAAGCCTCGCAGATACCACCTTAACCAAGTGATGAATGTTGATAAATCATGTTGATATCATGTACTCCCTGATGTGGTGGAATCATGAGGTCCATCACCCCTGTGGTTTTCTTCTCAAAAACCCAAAACATCAGGCTAATTGTGAGAAAACATCAGACAAACCCAAGTTGAAAGACATTCTACAAAATAACTGACCAATACTCCAAAATTGTCAAGGAAAGGAAAGACCAAGAACTGTCAGATGGGAAGAGACTAAGGAGACATGACAAGAAAATGCAATGTGATATCTGGGACAGGATCCTGGTATAGAAATAAGACAGTAGTGGAAAAACTGGGGCAATCCTAACGAAGTGTATACTTTAGTTAATAGAGTTGTACTGATGTTAATTTCTTGCTTTGGCGACTGTACCATGGTCATGTTACACATTAACATTAGAAGAAGCTGAGTGAAGAATATATGGGAACACTCTATTACGTTTGCAACTTTTCAAAAATGAAGTTTTAAAATTGTTTTCTACTTTTATAATTATATATATCCTACAGAGCTCAAAATTCAAATTCATGTTTCTTAGCCATACCTGTACCTATAGATTTCTCTTCAATCTTAGATAAATATGTCATCTCTTTGATATCTGATTAATTTTAATTTTAAATGAGACTATGGTATTTGTATCAAACAGGTCTAGAAATCATACATATCTGTCAGTGAGTCTCTGAAGATTCTTTTGAAAATGTATAGTGTTTTTTAAACATCATCTATAAATCTATTTACTGGAAAAAAATGAGACTAACAAGTGTTTTGCAAAAATATTTATTTTTATTATTAAAATAGCTCAATATGTTCTTTTGCTAAAATTCTTATTTGATTCAGATTTTTGGTCTTTTATTTCTCCTTCAACAAAGCGGCTCCGTACTGGATCATGGCACCTCAGAATCTTGTGCTGTCCCCAGGAGAGGATGGGACCCTGATCTGCAGAGCTAATGGCAACCCCAAACCCAGAATTAGCTGGTTAACAAATGGAGTCCCAGTAGAAAGTAAGTTTCCTCGATAGGCTCTAATTGCAGTATCTTTTCCAAGCATATCTACATCCCAACAGCGAACAAATGGTGATTAAAAAGTAATTCAGGGCCAACAAATGGGATTTGGGTATTCTATTCCCAATTTTAACCATGATCAGGATCAGGAAAGCCTGCAAGGAGTACTTCGTAGTTGTGCATCAGGGAGCTGTTGCCACTCTCAGGGGAATATGAGTGAAAACAGAGAAAATGTGGAAGAAAGCCCAGAATTGGAAAATAAGTTATATGGTACAATATATGGTTTTCTCAGGGATGCATACAGAATGGCAATAAATAATGGAGCATGCTCAGCACTCTCACACCGTGTTTTGCATGCAGCTCAGAAGTTCTGTGTTGATTTATGGAAGGTTAAATGTGTTCCTGAGATCTAGACTCAGCAGAACTGACAAATGGATGGGACCATCCGTCTAGCCATGCAGCCAGGGAAACAGGGAAGCCAGGGAATGTCAAAGAGATAAAACCTTGAGCTCAGCAGCCAGATGCAATCCTGGGCAGGGAACACTGAGACGTGGATGGGTGAGACATGGATCACCAGCAAGGGGAGATTAAATGATGAGGCCGATCTTTCCTTCTGATTTGCTCAGCTTGTGGTCCTTCCAAACCAGCTCTGTCAGTCCATTCCTGCTGCTATAACAAAATGCCTTAGACTAGGTATTTTATAAACAGACATTTATTGCTCACAGTTCTGGAGGCTGGGAAGACCAAGATCAAGGCACCAGCAGATTCAGTGTCTGGTGAGGGCCCGTTCCTCATAAATGTCACCTTCTATATGTCCTCATGTGGTAGAAGAGGTAAACAGGCTCTCTCAAGTCCTTTATAAGGGCACTAGTCCCTTTCATAAGTGTGGAGCCCTCATGACCTAATCATCTCCCAAAGTCCCCACCTCCTAAAACCATTGCCTTGGGGATTAGTTTTCAACATATGAATTTCAGAGAGACATAAATATTCACACAATAGCACCAGGGTAGGTAGTGCCTCTGAGGGAACCTTGTAACGCTAGTTATATTAAGAGCTTTGAAAATACATTTATAGACATTCCTCTTTTAAACGAACTTTTTGGGGGAAAGATCAACTGCAAAAGGCCTGCTTTGGGTACAGAGGGGCCGTGGTCCCAGAGACAAGTTAGGCCTTTCTACTGTATCCCTAAATCATCTATTTGGGTTCAGAGCAGAAAGAGTTAAGACAAAAATCTGTCAAATCAGATTCCAAATCAGTTCATTTCTTCCATGCCAAAAGTATTAAGTCCCCACAGGGTAGAAAAAAGGCTGAGCAGCTATGATTGGATTCTGCAGCTCCTGCAGATCCAGGGTCCTTCCACCTCTGGTGTGCCTTAGAGCAGTCACTCTGTGGACAGGCAAGGAGAGGAACAGGAGATGGCATGGTAGCAAAGCAAGGGGCCCATGTCCACCAGGGGTTGCGGAGCTTCCCTGAGAGGGGACTTTCTCCGCATCTGGTGGCCAAGCTGAAGGTGTGTGGATTACTGTTTGGACATGTCATAACTGAAAGGAGATGGGGCTGGCCGGGACCTCGCACGGCTTGCTGTGCACTGGTACTGCAAAGGCACAGCTCCCGCCCCTGCTCTTCAGCAGCTGGTCCACCTATAGCTTCTGCTGAGTGGCCTCTTGGGCAGACACTACGTCTTAAACAGCCAAGTTCAAAGGAAACTGTACGTGCCCCCACTGCGTGTTGACTTCCTCTGATCAAAAATAAGGAGTAAATAAGGAAGAAAATTCTCAAAACAATCATTAAAGGAGACTTATGCCTCTCTGCTTTCCACTCTGCATGGCAGCTTCCCTATGAATTTAGAAACAGAATGGCCTATTGAGGTTTGGGAACCATTCTGGAAATAGGTGACCGGTGCTTGTTTCTTGTCTGCAGTTTTTGAGTTGTGCACCCCACAGATGTACCCAGCAGTGCTGGCGCACAGGGGAAGGAAGGCAGAGAGATGCAGAGGGGCCAGGGTAGGAACCCAGAGCAAAAGCTGCCACGGTATACAGTGGAACTGCATCAGCATGGTTAGAATTCCTAACCTTCGTGGGGGCCTGGTGTGGACCCCAGAAGTTAGCTGGGAGCATGAGCTGACTTGCTGCTTGCTGACACTTTTCACCCAAGAGACTGCAGAAACTGGGGGTGGACCAGCTGCTGTGGGTGAGGGGCTTGGCAACAGCTGTGCCTCTGTAGTACATGCAGGGAGCTGTACAGCATCCCCATCAGGTGCGTGAAGTTCGTCTCCCATGCCGTACTGCCAGATACACAGCCTCTCTACTCCCTGCGTAGGGACAATCACCTGAGGACACCGTCTTCTCCCACCTCTGCAGACCCTGGCTGCTGAGTGCACACAAATACTGTCAAAGCAGGAAGAGGGAAGGGTAAGACCTGGGTTTTGTTAGCAACATACGATGTTATTGATTTGTACATTTTAGATATAGATCCTACTGTTTTACAACAATGGAGGAATTAACTCCAAAAGGCTCTGGGCTCCTATCACAATTTCTTCTAAATTTTGCCGGCTCCCCCTACACCACTTCCACCTCTCCCCACTCCCTGCACCCTTCCTTAGGACTGGCCAGAGTACTTTTAATTTTCCCTGAAGCAAAAAGCAGGCTGTATTAAATAAGGAATTTGCCCAAAACCACCTAAAATATTTGTAAAGCAATCTCCAGAAGTCAGGAAGAAGAACACAGCCGCAGAGAGCTGGCACCAAAAGAGGACTTAGATTTTATTGTGTGACCTGCAGTGTCTGGGAGAGTATAAGGTAGAACCCAGGACCAGGAAGAAAATGAACTTGCTGTCAGCAGGATGGGGCAAAGCATTTCCCAACTCTCCCCAGGAATTCACCTTTCAGGATTTCACAGTCAGCCGTAGATAGGTGTCCATAAGTTCCTCCTTCCACCTCTCTGTCTTCTCCACTGGAGAACCCACGCTATCCTGATCATAGTCCCCAAGGCCAAGGCCATGGCCACTGTGATTCCTGTCTCTGTTCCTGGAGGCAAGAGAGTTTTAACATGTGCAGATCTTTGATCATCCCCTACCCAAAAAACTTGAGAATAAACAAACTATTAAATGCTACTGTCTGTAGATTCTCATCTCCAAAGTTCATGTAATATCATCTGGTTAACCTATTTTATAAAGTTGTTTTTAAAATAAAATTATTCAATAAATGTAAAAACACTTTAAAGTTTGGTGGTACTGTATACATGGTAAGGCGGCATTATTATTATTATTATTCTCATTATCTAAATGTTGGAAGCATTTATGGTTTTAACCAGCCATGTCAGGAGAGTCAGTTTAACAGAAATCATTTTCTAAAGACTATCACCCCCGTTCTGGACCTTACTTTGGGGGCTTTAAGTTATATGTGGTGATAATATGCTCTTAAATTTCTTTCTCCAGGGTTGGCAGGTTAGCCCATTTGGCTAGAGCTCAGTGTTATAACACCAAGTTCAAAGGTTCATATCCCTGTACCAGCCAGCCACCAAAAAAAAGAAATGTTTCTTTCTCCAGTGTTTCTTTCTTCTTTTTACAGCAAATGGAGTTGGTTATTCCCAGAATTAATTATTATTCCTTTGGATGATTTGGATTTGCATGCTAGAGAGTTACTCCCTCTCAATAGCCAACACTTAATGTCCAAAGACTTCAAATGTCTCTGCACTAGCGATTTCATTCTGTATCCAGCTACCAACTGAGCTTCCATATGTCACCATGACAGTTCCTGGATTTGTTTGTATTTCTCTAATAAATGCTTAAGGAAAATGTAGCCCAAGCCCCCATAGAGTGAGATCTGCTTACTCATTACTCTGACCTAAAGGGTTTATTTTATTCCTAAATACCTTGCCAAAAATAAATATTTAAAGACTGCTCCATTTAGCATAAATAAGGCAGATACAGTCGGATGCCTTTCAGGTAAAGAATATCTTCCCAAAGAGTTGATAGCACAGAAAAATGCAATTGTGAGCTACAGAAAAGCTTTTTTATATGGTTTATATTTGTGATCAGTGACTCTCTACTTGCACATCATCGTGCCACAGATCTCCAGAAATTTTTCATCTTGCAAAAACTGTAAATCTATAGCCATTAAATGTCACATAGTGGTGTAACTTTTAAGAGCTCAATATGCTCAAGGAATTCGAGGAGCTCTTCTCACACAGTCTGCCACCCATCCAGAGAGATTCAGCCAAGAGCTCTGCCTGTGCTTCATCACAGTCTAAAATACCCAGGCACTGTGCTCCACTGCCTGGCATATCCACAGAGGTGCAGTCTGGGTGGGCACATGGTGGGCATCGAGAGTCCCCTGAGGAGCCCAACACTGAGTGCCCAAGTGCTGTGTCCAAAAGCGCTAAGAATAATTGACCACGAAAGGGAGAAATGCTGCTCTATATCACAGCATGCCTTGCTGAGGCAGTTGATGGACATCACTGAGAGCATGTGAATCAGAAGGGCCCCAGTGACACAGGACTCAGGATCTGGGACAAGGAACGTGTGCCACCCCAAGGTGCACTGCATGCTCAGGTCCATGGGTGTCTGCCGCAGCTATAGTTCACTTCCTAGGCAAGTGTAACATTTCTGTCCTCTGCCATCATCTATTAATGAAATCTATACCCTGTCGAAGGAATTATGACTTGTATTTGTCTTCAGGATGGAAGAACATGTTTCTTAAGGCAATTTTGAAATTATTAGAGTCATAAACAGCAAATGTGAGCTAAGAAGCCAATTTAAATTATCTCGGCACACTCCATAACAAGTTGAACAGCCTGGAGTATCTAAGATGATTTCATAAGTTAGCTGTTGATTGTGATCAGAGCATTCAACAACTACTTTTTTAAGAATGACTATTATGCCTGCTCAGGAATGAAGGCTTTAATCAGCCCATGAGGAGTAGCTCTTAAGTGGAAGTTTTAATAATTCTTGAATGGTAAAAACTTGTTCTAAGCTTCAATTTATGGCACATTTTTGGAATATTCTGGTCTGAAACATCTGAAAGAACTTTTAGGCCATAAATTTGATAGAGTGTGTGGTAGACAGAATAATGTCGCTCCTCCCCCCAAAAATGTTTGCATCCTAATCCCTGGAAACTGTGAATACATTGTCTTATATGGCAAAAGGGACTTTGCACATGCGATTAATGTTAAGGGCCTTGAGATAGGGAGATTATCTGGTTTGGGCCCAGTTTAATCACACAAGTCCTCAAAAGTGGAATGCCTGTGCTGGCTGTAGTCAGAGAGAAATGTGACTATGGAACAATGATCAGAGAGATGCAACACTGATAGCTTTGAAAATGGCAGAAGGGGACCATGGGCCAAGGAATGTGGGCAGCCTCCGGAAGCTGGAAAAGGCAAGGAGATGGATTCTCCCTAAACCTTCAGAAAGGAACACAGTCCTGCAGGTATCTTGATTTTAGCTCAATGAGACCCATGTCAGACTGCTAATCTACAGAACTGAATGATAGTAAATTTGTGTTGTTTTAAACCACAAAATTTGTGGTAATTTGTTACATCAACAGTAGAAAACTTACAGAATGAGTAAGCAAAATGCTTTGAGCATCCAAAATAAAACAAGGATGAATAACTATAGAGTTTTTTTTTTAATAACTATAGTTTGGTTTACTTTTGTCAAAGTGGGATAATAAGCCACATATTAACCAAATATTTTTTATTTTAAAGTGATAAAGGACTCTAAATGCAGTGATAAATGTCTTAGAGGCACATTCCTTTCCTATCAACAAAGAAAAAGAAATGATGTTTAGAATGAAAGAAAGTAAAGTCTTCTTAACTGGCTCAAGTTGCAAGAGCAATTTAAGAGAAAGGGTGCTGTGATTTTGTTTTGATTTTGATCAGCATGCTGAGACAGAGACCTAACTCCTTTTAGTGTATGTTTATAACAATGTAAGGTCACAGACTAAGGTTTAGCATTCACAAAAAGGAATTCATCTCCAATAGCATAGCAGTTCTAACTTGTTGAGCATGCCCTGGACTAAATTCTCACATATTATGTTACCCAGCCAGTTCTATTCCACTTCAGTAAGGATCAATCCTGGTCTTAATATTTCTTTAAATACTTAAGAGATTTAGCTGAAAACACTGTCTTTAAGAGGAATTATACACAGTTTATTTCTACTTTAGCCTCAGAAATTTCCAAAGCAAAATACTAAATATTTTCACATTTGATTATTAGCACTGTATTTATTTCTATACTTATTTATTTATTTATTTATTTGTCTATTTGTTTAAAGAAGAGGCTCTTGAAAGGGACGGGTTTGGACGAGCTAGAGTGTTTCTATATTTGTTAGCTAGCTTTCACTATCTCCTCTTGATAATTAACTTGCCTCCTCATAAATAATCACAGTCTCTTTGTGAGCAAGGCAATGTTTTCCTGAATTTGTGGTGCCATTTTCACCTAAACTTGTGGGATTTTTTTCTCTGCCTCTCTCAAACTAATATTCAATATGATAGAATCCATCCACTTAAGACCAAATGAATATTGAGCTTATGTCCATGCTGATATATGAGAATTAAATTCTGAAGAGGGAAAAATTATGGCTTCTGCCTGGATTCTAGTCTTCTTCTTGCTGCATATACCTAGATCAGTCTGTATTTCTATTCTACTTACTATAATGTGGACTTTAAGCTTTACAAGTTTAATATACATCTTTTGAGCAAAGAGGAATAAATACATACTTTCTATTTTTATACCCAAACAGTTGCCCCGGATGACCCCAGCAGGAAAATAGATGGTGATACCATTATTTTTTCAAATGTTCAAGAAAGATCAAGTGCGGTATATCAGTGCAATGCCTCTAATGAATATGGATATTTGCTGGCAAATGCATTTGTAAATGTGCTGGGTAAGCTCTCCCTTTATTAAAGACGTGGCAAATTAACTTAATGACTACTCTTATTTTCTATCCATTCAGCAAAAAATATATTGAGTATCTACTATGTACAATGTACAATACTTGGCACTGTAAGGGATATACAGAGATGGATAAGATACAGACCTTGCCCTGTAGGATATTACAGTCTGGTCTTAATGCTCTTTCTTAACACAGTTTTTATAATGGCAAATTTTCACTGTTGAAATAATCGAATGGTCTGGGTTTTCCATTCACAGATGGTTAGACTAAGAGTCAAACCCCTCAATTTGTCTGCTATTAGTAACTGCATGTTTCTGCTCTTCCATCCTTAGAAACTGACAAGATAAATAATAATTTTATGATTCTGATTTTTCAAAAATAAGCCATTAATCATAATGCTTGGCCTTTATTCAAGTCACAGATGTGCATTTATTTAATTCTTAAAAGTATGTTTAGAAAACTATGACATACTCAAACATATTCTGAAATGCTTGGTTTATGGGAACATTGTATTTCTCACATTGGACAAAACTACCAAAATACCACATTTGTTAAAATTTATGTGAGAATAGTTTTCACAGTGCCAGGAATTATACTCCAACTCTTTTAGGTTAGTATGCTCCCTTTCCAAACAAAATTAACATCAGGAAGCCAACCAATACTTGATATTTTTTCCTTCATGATTGAAATCAAGGTCACTAATCACATGAAGAGCTAAGCCCTTAAGATATTGGTGGATGGTGAGGAAGCAGTTTTGACTTCTGGTTCCATTTATCACTCTCTACTTCTACACGTTCAACTTTTTTAGATTCTACATATAAGTGAGATCATGCATTACTTGTCTTTCTGTCTGGCTTCTTTTACTCAACATAATGTCCTTCAGGTTCATCCATGTCGTTGCAAATGACAGGATTTCCTTCTTTTTTAAGGCTGAAGAGTATTCCATTGTATACAAATGCCAAATTTTCTTTATCCATTCATTCATTAATGGACACATGTTGATTCCATATCTTGGCTATTGAAGAATGCTGCAATAGATATGGCAATATGGATATCTCAACATTCTGATTTCATTTCCTTTGGATACATACCTAGTAGTAGGATTGCAGGATCCTGTGGTAGTTTTGTTCTTAGTTTTTTGAGGAATCTTCATACTGTTTTCCATAATGGCTATACTAATTTATATTCCCACCAACAGTGTACAGGTGTTCCTTTTTCATCCACATCCTGTCCAACACTTATCTTTTGTCTTTTTAGTAATAGCCGTTCTAACAGGTGTGAGGTAATATTTCATTGTGGTTTTAATTTTCATTTTTCTGATGGTTAGTGATGTTGAGCATTTTTCATATATCTATTGGCCATCTGTATGTCCTCTTTGGAGAGATGTCTATTCAGGTCCTTTGCCCATTTTCTAATTGGATTATTTGTTTTCTTATTATTGAGTTATTTGAATTTCTTATATATTTTGGCTATCAACCCATTATCAGATATATGGTTTGCTAATATTTTCTCTCATTCTGTATGTTGTCTCTTCACTCTGTAGATTCCTTCTTTGGCTGTGTAGAAGCTTTTTAGTTTGATGTAATCCTATTTGTCTATTTTTGCCTTCGTTGCCTGGGTTCCATTTTTTGGTCATCACTCTGCTTTTTTAATGCCAGCTTATGGGTTTCCCACCATTCCCACCTACTGGGGTTGAAATGGGTCAGTCTTTCAGTGAGAATATACCTGGCCGTTACGTTTGTGCCAGATACTGTACTGGGATAAAACAATAAAAATTTCCATTCCCTGGCCAGAAGGGACTCACAGTATGGTAGGAGATACAGATAAGTAAATCAATAATTAAAATAATGCCTGAGTAAGATGTGGGCATATAAAGTAGAGGGAGGAAATTTATATTTTTCCACCTTCAGTGACCCGGAGTGTCATGTCTGATAGGGAACATAAAAAGAGAGATATGTTGGTTGTGCTTTACCATGACCTTTAATGACCTTAAAACAAAATGCAATAAATATACTGTGGGCCTAAAATGTATTCTAACATTTACTTTACCTTTTTAAAATGTTTTTAGCTGAGCCACCACGAATTCTTACATCTGCAAACACACTCTACCAAGTCATTGCAAACAGGCCTGCTTTACTAGATTGCGCCTTCTTTGGGTCTCCTCTACCTACCATTGAGTGGTAAGTAATGGCCCTCTTTGCTTTTTAATCCTTACATTTGCTAAAACCTTCACATTTGTAAATGTGTTGAGTTTTAGTCAAAGAACAAACGGGAAAGGCAGTATACAATTCATCGTACTATTAATTATTAAATGCATTCATTCACAAATATTTATTAACTGCCTGCTCTGTCTGTGATAATTACTTTCATATGTATAATCTCTACATACATACATTTCCAGCACACTCTATCAACCACAAAGCTTATAAAATGATTTTATTTTGGGGGGAGGCTGCTGACCACTATGGGGTTTCAAACCCTTGACCTTGCTGTTATAATACCGCACTCTAACCAGCTGAGCTAACTGGCCAGCCCATGTAAATGATTTTTTTAAAATTTAAGGCTGCTGTATTTTATGATGCCATGGACATCACCTGGGGCTTTGTGAATAATGGCTGGAGGGACTGGCTGGGGGGCATTCTGTGATAATAAGATATCATGTGGGGTGGGGGAGAGGATCTATAAGCTAAAACCAGAATTTGTTAAACCAGTGTTTCCCTTCATTACCCCTCCCACCAGATCTTCCTGGCTCAAATCCAGCATCGCTCCCGTGTCCTTTCACTGTCCCCTTCAGACCATCCTTTTCATGTACCACACCTGAAAGAAGTCCTCTACCTCCTGCTGATTGCTGACTTTAGCATGAGCCAGAAGAAAGAAGGCTAGGATAGGCAACAGCTCAGAAAGAATGAGTAAAGGAAATAGAACATTCATTTATTGATCATCTGTCAGATCCCAGATGCTGTGTTGGGCACCAACTACTGAGGTGAAAAGAAAAGCAGATTTAGGATTAAAATAAAATCTCCCCAGGCCCCCACCTTAACCACAGAGAAGAGAAACATGGATGCTCATGCAGATGATTTTCTCATAAAGCCGCGGGGATTAACACTTAGACAATAGATTGACTTTGCCAAACCCCTTTTTTCCTTCTTCACTTCTCCTACCTGACACACATGCCTTTTTTTCTCCCTTGAATATCTTCCTATGTATACTTTCAAAAGTACAATCCTCGTAGCCTTGAAATCAAAATCCTTTTAGAATTATAACCTGCAGATAGAGTTACAAATACATCAGAGTTGGGGGGAAATGTCAAAAAGAGCAGTCTTTCTTTTGCCAATTTTATCACCTATTTAGAGATAAGATAAGTAATAATGTGTTTATTAAATTATGGATCTCACATAACAAAAATTACAATTTAAATATTAATTATTGTCAGCCTGTTTCTACAAACATCATTTGTTGTTGAATTTTCCAGTTTTATGTCTCATCTTTACATTTACCCCACTGACATACAAGCATCCAGGGTGCTTGTGCAAATTCTAAATGTCTCAGAACTTGATGCTTTAATGCAGACCAAGGTTGTGTTGACATTGAACGTGACGTTTTCTGTCTGGCTTCAAATTATGATGCATTTTTATTCTCATTGTGATACTTTTATCATGAAGGTTTAAAGGAGCTAAAGGAAGTGCTCTTCATGAAGATATTTATGTTTTACATGAAAATGGAACTTTGGAAATTCCTGTGGCCCAAAAGGACAGTACAGGAACTTATACATGTGTTGCAAGGAATAAATTAGGGATGGCAAAGAATGATGTTCACTTAGAAATCAAAGGTAAGGCAGAGGTAACAGATTTTTTTCAAGTATTATTTGACTTTGAGCAAAATCTTCGATAACAATGACTTTAAATTTCAGATCCAACTAGGATCATTAAACAGCCTGAATATGCAATTGTGCAAAGAGGGAGCACAGTGTCCTTTGAATGCAAAGTAAAACATGATCAGACCTTAGTCCCCACTGTCATGTGGCTGAAGGACAATGGTGAGCTGCCCAGTGATGAAAGGTAATTGAAGATTATTTCTTTCTTTTCTCTTCATTCTCTCTTTAAACTGCTCATGAACCAGAGGTTTGCTGTACAGTGACTTAATGGTGATGTTTTTAGCTTCCAAAAAGATATGCATTTAGATATATAGAGATATGCATTTTGTCCCTACTGTAAAATATTTGGACCTAAAAAGGCATCACATGATTGAAATAAGACCCAGAAAGTGTTTGTCTATCTTTGTGTGTTGGTCTCCTTTGTAATTCGGGATGGGAAAAAACCCTTCAAGCCTTGGACAGCGTCCACTGTTTTGTACTTTGAACTGTGAAGTCTCAACAGATGTTTTCATTACCATTCTACAAATAAGCAGAAATATGATCTTTTTAATCACCAGAATGTGCCTGAATTTTTGTCATTATTTTAAAAGACACTAGTTTTTATTTGGATAGGGAGTATTCTTTTTTGACTCTACCTAAAGCCTGCGGAAGGGGAAGGAAAAACAAAAACAGGGAAAGCATTTAAAACGGCCTGAGCATGTTTCAGTCCTTTGGCTTGGAATGGAAGGAAGGTCACACCATTTTCCAGTTGAGGCCCTCAATTGGACACAGTGAATACGAACAGAGGAGTATGTGAATGTGAGCAGTCACAAAGGCTGCAGGCATCACCCCCTATTAGAGGGGATGCTGTATTCTGGTGGAAATAGTTTCTGTGGTTCACTTGCAGCTCACCTAAACCTGTAGTGCCTAAATGTTGCCCTATTGCTGTTAATGGTCCCAAAAGAACTCCTCTATATGCCTGGAGTTTCCATCTAGTTCTACACCTCAGCTGGTCAGTTTTATTTGTGGAATCAGAGTTGAGAAAGATGAAAATGAAGTATGAAGAAATGACCCTCAGGTTAAGTTGGCAAAGCTTTAACTTGGAAGTTCCCTGAGAAGACAGTTTATGATTTAGGCAGCTTCATTAAAATTATACATGAATCCTATACACCTTGATTTTTGACCCCTGAGTAATTGTTCATGCCTGCAAGTAACTTCTAGAAATCCCTTAGTGGAGATCGCTGATCTAAATCTTCCTATTTCTAGTGATTATTAATCTTGGCATTTACCTTCTCCTATGAGAGTTTATGCATGTGGCAAAAATGACATGAAATTTCCGCATTAGATAAGAAATTATTTTAAAATATATGCTTTGATAGAAATTGAACCAAATGAATGACTTTCAAGTGTTTCTTAGCAGGTAAAGCCTTAGTAAAGCCCTCTCATGGAGCTGCCCCCCACCCCACCTCTGGATGCCCCTCAAGACTCTAGAGAACAGGCTGAAAACCACTGTGCCAGATGACTTAATATCCCTTCTAACCCAAGATTCTAATTCATTCAAATTGTTTTCCAACTTTAATCATCATTAAAGTGATACGTACTGTATAGGATTTTCACTCTAGTTTGCTGAAAAGGTTTATCAGCTCTCTCTTATCAAATTCAGAGTTTCTTTCATGCCAGTGAAGCAATGATAGGGTCTCCACTTCAGCTGCTCTGCACGTGTTGTGTTCACAGGTTTACTGTTGACAAGGAGCAGCTGGTGGTAGCTGATGTAAGTGACGATGATGGTGGGACCTACACCTGTGTGGCCAACACAACTCTAGACAGCGTTTCTGCCAGTGCTGTGCTGAGTGTGGTCGGTAAGAACTACAAGTAACAACTGGCTTCCCTGTGTTAGGCTGAAAAGAGAAAGAAAAATTGTAAATATTAAATGTTTGCTTGTTATGGTTCTACACCTATGACATGGGTGAGTTAATGCCCGTGGGTGGGCTAACGCCTGTGCTTTTCTTCTTTGAAAGATGCCCTTGTGGGCCGGCCCGGTGGCACACTGCTACAGTGCGCCGCTTGTCCCGCCGAGGGTTCGGATCCCACATACAGACCGGTTCCCGCTCACTGGCTGAGCGAGGTGCGGGCGCAACACCGAGGGTTGCGATCCCGTTGCCGGTCCCGGCCCAGTACGGGCACGACACTGAGGGTTGCGATCCGTTGCCGGTCACGAAAAAAGACAAAAAGGAATAAAAAAAAAAAAAGAAAGATGCCATTGAGGTGATAATTTCCATGTAAATATATTCTGTAGCAGCACTAGGATAAAATGGTGTATTATCACACTCTTGATATCTTTATAAGAAAATTGGGGGAAATAATCTACTTTTATTTAAAATTGAAAGGCTTTTCCCCCCTAAATTGTACTGCATGTTGATCAATGCCGTGTCTCACAGTTAAACAAAGGATTTAATTTTATAAGCTTAATTATGTGTAATCTTTGTCTTCTTGTGCTATCTTGTATCTTTCCATTACTAATTTTGATTAAAATCCTTTATATTAATGTCCTTTCTAGCTCCTACTCCAACTCCAGCTCCCATTTACGGTAAACTAATATGAGTCTTCTTTCTCTATTCTCTGTCAAACAATTTCAAATTTGCAGAAAAAAATTAATTACTTTTCTGTGTCACATCTTTGTGTTTCTTTAAGATAAAAAGAGCTGTCAATTGTTATGTTGTGTTGCCCATTTACTGCAACAAATCATTTATTCATTATTACCCTATAATTTTTCACTGAGTTTATTTCATGTGCTATTACAAAATCATTTCATTTGATAAGTCCCTCTTTGATACAATTTCCTTGTAAACTAGCATAGTGCTTTTTCAAAAACCATCGTCCACATTTTACAGAATGAAAAAGCCATTTGTAACATCATTTGACACATTAGGTTTTCACTTCAATCTATTAGAAGTTATTTTGGAAAAATAAATGTTATTTTGGGATTCCATTTTCAAGAAATTTACAGAGGAAGAAAAATGGATGTGTAGAATAACATTTGACTTTTCTGTGAGAGAAAACTGCCTCACTGTGTGTTAACAAAAGATCGATCACTCAAGAAAGACCAAAAGGAGGGGCACATCCTTGTTGGGTGACTTTTATGAGTTTGGAATATAAATCAGAAATTACTTGCAGAAATCTATTTGTTTAGAGAACCCTCATCTTTATTCAGCACATAAATACAAAAATTAATTTTGTGACATAATCTCAGTTGGATTTTATGTAATATCGTTAATCATCCTATATGAGACCTATCTCCTTTGTAGACATTTGCTGCTTCATTACTGATAAGAAAAAAAAAGCCCGTATATTTATATGACCTCTGGCCCCCCATAGCCAGAGCTACTCCCAGAAGCAAGGTCAACAAGGGCCAGGAGGAACATTAACTCTCTGGATCACTGTAGAAGAGGGAAGCATGCTTCTGGGTCACCTTTGCTCGAAGAGGTGTCTGTACCCTGGTGTCCTCTAAGAGTAAACATACTTACATATGCTGAGTGCTATCTACATAGCATTCATTTCAGAGTTCCCTTAAAAATATAAATATTCTGGGCCGACCCCGTGGCGCACTTGGGAGAGTGCAGTGCTGGGAGCGCAGCAGCGCTCCCGCCGCGGGTTCGGATCCTATATAGGGATGACCGGTGCGCTCACTGGCTGAGCGCGGTACGGGCGGTCACAAAAAAGACAAATATATATATATATATTCTTCAGGAGCCCCAAAATCTATCATTCAGCATGTTTCAGAAAGAATATTTGGATCTTCTTAGACAATTTATTTTATTTGCCTGTGTTTGTTTTTCAGCATTTGCTATTCTCTGTTTGCCATTATTAGAAATTAAGCTCTAATATTATTTTTTATGTTTGTGCTTGTTCATGTTTATGGGAAGACATACACTGAGAGTGTTGATGTATGTCTGCTTCACTGGTTTTGGTCACAAAAGATTTAGTTTCATTTGGAAACAAGCAAGCAGAACTCATTGATGGGCTGTCGTGGGTGTGCTCATGTGTTCCTGGCAGCCTCAGTTGTTTCCATGTCGTTTCAGTTGCATGCTCATTGATCATTAAGTGTGCTGTGTCCTTAAGATGTCCCCTTTGTGAATAGTATCAGGAATAAAGGAAAGCTTCGCAAGGGTGGATGGTTAACTGTGATGTATGTGTTTGGTCTACAGATGTCCCAAATCCTCCCTTTGATTTAGAATTGACAAACCAACTTGACAAAAGTGTTCAGCTGTCATGGACCCCAGGCAATGACAATAACAGCCCTATCACAAGTAGGTAGTGCTATTCGCTTTGTCACTGATAAATGTAATGGCCATTTTGAAGCACCTGACAATATGCAACTAAAATTCCTCACAAAGAGATTTACTGGCATTCTTGGCTTTGTTACTGATAGAACAAAACTATGTATTTATGGCTCTCTTCTCTTCAGAGCTGGAGTTATTCCTGGTTACAGCTCCTGGTACGGGATACTAGTTAATTGCTGAATATTTTAATTAAGTAAATATACTGTTGTTTGTGTTTAAGATCCATAAAGAATCACCTTAAATGTCTACCACAGTAAGCATGTCTAGTTATTCATTTTGCCAACTTCTGCTAGAAAAGGATAGCAGGAGCAGGTGCTATAATACCCAGTCTATATATTAGCAAATTGAGACTTGGTGAGTAAAATGACTTTTCAAACCCACAGTTGTTTAAAGAACTGGGTGTAGACATCAGGTCTGCTAACTTCAAACCTAGGTCTCTTTCTTCCCAATTAGATCCTGCTACAAAGTGGTACATTCAACCATGAAGCTCCTCACCCTGGTGATATAAGCTTAGGTAATAAATTAGTTGAGGGACAATGCCATAAGGATACTGGGAGAGCTTAATAAATTAGAATATACGTAAGCTTAGAAGTTTAATCATAAAACTGAAGAGATACATAAAAGGTAGACACAATCTTGTCACAAGCCTGAAGTACGTTATTACTTTCAGGTATAAGGTTATATAGACAAGAAGACCAGATTCCTTTCTGATGACTGCCTAAGATGATTCTGAAATGACAGGTGTGTTGATAACGGCACCTCCTGGTAAAGCAGAATATTGCCAGTAAAATTAAACAAAAGCCTCCTATCTTGTGTTCTTCAGTGGTGCTCCTGTCCCAACTGAGTTTTCAGTGTCCTTGATCAGAACACGCATTCATCCAGCCTGCGTCTTCCCTCTGATGCAATGCATTGGCCACATCTAGCTACTTAGGATGTTTGGAGAGCCTTTCTACCTGTTATAATAATACCATTATATTTCAAAGCATTTCTACTTTTTTCATTCATTCACTCATTCATTCAGCAGATATTTATCGAGAGCTTACTATGTGACAGGCATTGTTCTAAAACAAAACAGTCAAAAATCTCTGCCCTTATGGAGCTTATATTTTCAATGAGTACACAAGGAAGATAAAATTAATAACATATATTATGTTATCATATATAATGTCATTATATGTGCATGTATGTATATATAGTATATGTATACGAATATATACACACACAACTCAGATTTACCTTCAAGAGAGAACTTGCTACAAGGAGTATTAACTGACAGCCTCGAGCTAATTTCATGTGGTGTCTGACACATGTCCCTGTTTCTTAGATATTGAGGATAATGATGAAACTCTGAAATCAAAATATTCTAAGGGAATTTTTCTTGGAAGTAAAGTATTTCATATCTGGCTTGTTAGTTACCCTGTTAGTTACTGCTAACCCCCTACCCCTGGACCGGGTTCACTGTCTGTGTTTGTTGTGTCTGTGTGCTGTGGCCAGAATTCATCATTGAATATGAAGATACAATGCACCAGGCAGGGCTGTGGCACTACCAAGCTGAAGTTTCTGGAACACAGACTACAGCCCAGCTGAAGCTGTCTCCTTACGTGAACTACTCCTTCCGAGTGATGGCAGTGAACGGCATCGGGAGGAGCTTGCCCAGCCAGGCGTCGGAACAGTATCTGACGAAAGCTGCAGGTAAAGCAGGACTTCCGTGACAGGAGAGGACCTAGAAAAGTTTTGCACTCTTTGCAAAAGACCAAAGCTTACACCTATGTGGCTGCTTAACTTCTAGAACCAGATACAAATCCCACGGCCGTGGAAGGACTAGGATCAGAGCCTGATAATTTGGTGATTACGTGGAAGGTGAGCTGTAAAATCTTCAACTTTCCTTGGTATTTTTTACAGTAAATAAAAGTTGTTTCAAAATAATATCTGCATTAAAATCCCATCTCACTCATTTCTTGGAAAAAATATATATATGATTTTATTTTTTATTTAAGAGACAGTATTGTGTAGTAGTTAAAAACTTCACCTCTGGAGCCAAAATCAATGGGCACAAATCCCAGTTCTGCTACTTATTGTGTGACCGTAAGCTAATTATTTAACATCTCTATGAGGCATCGGCATGATGGGAATAATAATAGAGTCAACTTCATAAGATTAAAGATTATAACACACCTCAAACAATGCCTCACACATGTATGCGCTCAATAAATGCTAGCTACTGCTTGTGTTATCATCAGCATAAAGAACCCCCTGGAAAACATGCACCACACTGTTCCCAGTAGTCAACTTCTTTTTTTAGGGGGGCAGGGTTATCTGTATTTTCTGGATTTGGAAAATGAATGCATATTTACTTATGTGATTTTAAAACCTATTTTAGATACTTATATACATACAAGTGTATATACTTATGTACATACATGTAGAAACAGGATACGATGACATACTAACCCTTTTTTTTTAATAAAGAGGAAAACAGTTCATAGGTTTTAGTCTGCAACTAAAATGAACAACAATGTACTATCACAGAAACAGGAATATGTAAAGCAATCTATGTAAGTGAAATGTTTTAAGAGTCACCCATCCTTGGCTGTGAAGTTAGAGTTTAGGCTTATGTGGTATTTACTGCTTCAAGATAGTAAGAAAAGATTAAAGATTTTAATCTTTTAAAAAAGATTGCAGCCTTTGAAATGTTGATCCCAAACAAGTTTTGGATCTCATCACAAATAAAAAAAGATAAAAAGTCCCCGGAGAAAATGGTTAATAGCTTGTATTTTAGTGTTTCAGTGCTCACTTTCTTTTGGTCTGGCAATTGAATTTGCTGTTCCCGTAAGAAGTTGTGCGGTCAATCTGTTTTATAACCTCTCGTTATTTTGCTTTTCTTATAGCCCTTGAATGGTTTCGAATCCAATGGGCCAGGCCTTCAGTACAAAGTTAGCTGGCGCCAGAAAGATGGTGACGATGAATGGACGTCTGTGTTTGTGGCAAATGTATCCAAATATATTGTCTCAGGCACACCAACTTTTGTTCCATACCTGATAAAAGTTCAGGCTCTGAATGATGCGGGGTTTGCTCCAGAGCCAGCTGTAGTCATGGGACATTCTGGAGAAGACCGTAAGTGTCTGATTCTCTTTCCTTTCTACTTTTCCCCAGCAAAACAGACTTACCAAGGTGCAGGCCGAGGACATTTCCAGAGGTAGTCAGGTTGCAAGGGAAGGAGGCAGCAATTATTTTGCTTGACTTCTCTGAAGTTAAACAGCCTTCTATGTTAGGTAGAGAGGTTCAGAATGTTAAAGGTGATTACATTTAATAACAATGCTCTCACAAACTCAAATGAACAGATAGCAAAAAAACCTATTTTTAATTCTTAATAATTCATAGACTAGGGCTGGGGCATGCCTCAAGCCAAAATTATTAAGAGATCGTGACATTATTGCATGAAATTCAAAATAATATTGATACTCACCGCCCCCCTCAACCTCATCCTTTCCCTAGTCCCAATGGTGGCTCCTGGAAATGTGCGTGTGAATGTGGTGAACAGTACCTTAGCCGAGGTGCACTGGGACCCAGTACCTCTGAAGAGCATCCGAGGACATCTGCAAGGCTATCGGGCAAGTGAAGGGAGACCTTCTATGTTCTTTAGTACCAGGGCATCAGCACAAATGCCACTTTTCACGCACACAGCGTAAGGTTGGAGTTATTTGGTTCATCTCCTCATGAACTTGTGAACTCCAGTTTATTTGGTTTATCACCTCAGGCAGGGCCCCATCTAAAGGACCCCAGTTACAGTTGACTTGAAATCTCCCCACAACCAAACTGAGAAAAAAATGTTTTCTTCATTTTTGCCACAGATCATCTAACATTCTGCCAACTAAACAATTGACACATGCGCAAAATGAGGAAAATTAATTTTTGAAGAAATACAATGTAATGAACTGTATCTAGCTTTAAAGCAATATGGACCACATGTTGAACACACAAATTATCCTGACAATAATTTAGGCATTTTTTAAATAATTCAGATTATATTTTAAGACCATACATGTATAGTCCCAACTGGGTTGTTCTTATGAACATCAGTTATCTTTGATCCTGGGAGGCACAGGAAGACTAATTCATAGAGATTTTTGATTGATAGGGAGAAGAACTGTTTTTGCACGCACACACACAGTCACTACTTGATTTGTTAGCCCCGCCCTCTAGAGGTCACTTTTTGTACTGCATTATCTTTTTTTTTTTTTTTTTTTGCCAGATACTGTATATATGTTGACCCCTCTTGAAAGTGCCTTTAAATTCTTAAAAAGAATTTAAGAGGACTTAACAAACAACAATTCTGGATTTGTTAACAAAATTAATCAACACTTTTCTTATCCATCTCTCCAAAACCTGTGCCTACAATTTAATAAAAAAAAAAAGTATTTTTAATTAAGTAATAGAGTTTGGCTCAGTGGAAAAGCTCTAAACTTGGACAAGAGGGTCTCCTGTGACTCTTGACAGCCCTTTGGCTTTGGGAGACTGACTCAGTATCCCAGAGGCTCATCTGTACCATAGGAATAATAAAAATAAAAGCCACCCTGTGGTTTTTAGGTTTAAATGAAATGATATATGTTTTGTGCATGAACTTGTATTATCTCTAGAAGAGTATGTAAACATTGGGCAGTAACTTTTTTTAGAATATTTTTTACAAGTAAAAAACTTAAATCCCTCTATTGTCATCCATTCACCTCACGTTCTGGAGAGAACTGTATATGTTTCAGGCTGTTTCATTTTTTTCACTTATATTCCTCCAACAAAATAGTATAGCCCAGCTTTGTCACATTGTCTTAATTTAATTTCCCTCATTATCTAAGGGACTCTATTCCATGAGGAATCGTGTTTGCCCCTTTGTGCATCCCTGATTTTTGTACTTGCTGTTTCAGATTTACTACTGGAAGGCACAGAATTCATCTAAGAGAAACAGACGTCACATTGAAAAAAAGATCCTCACTTTCCAAGGCAGCAAGACTCATGGCATGTTGCCTGGGCTGGAGCCCTTCAGCCACTACACGCTGAACGTTCGCGTGGTCAATGGGAAAGGGGAGGGACCGGCCAGCCCTGACAAAGTCTTTAATACTCCAGAAGGAGGTATGGGATGCACATGTCTCTGAGATCCCTGGAATATTTGGCATGGCTTGAGAGGCTTTGCATGACAGAAGCGCCTCCAAATAAATTATATTCTGTAGCCAAATGTGATTTTCCCATAGATGAGCACAGCACATGCAAAGCCAGCAAAATGTGAGCTCATATGTGTCCTAAGGGCACGTAGAAGGCTTCAGAACACAAAATGCTGACCTAAACGCCCTCTTCTTTGACTTAAAAATTTCCTCCACACTTACTCACCCTGTCTGAAATCTTGCTATTCGACATTCATCTGATCTGTTAACTTTCTGACTCGTAGCAAGTTCTATAACTTCTTTATGCCTCAGTAACCTCATCTGAAAAGTGTGAGAATGAAATGGAATAACCTAAGAAAAACACCCAGAAAGGAAAACATTTCTCTATGTTGTAGTTAATTTCTATAGCTTCTTTCTCAGTGCTCTCTCATAATTTTCTAAAGTTGACCTGAGTTAGAAGGTTGGAGGTCTTGGCAGAGTGGTTGGAAAGAGAAGGGAAAAGTCACTGCAAGTGTGGGCTGCTGCTCGGGGAGCGAGGGAGGATCAAGTACATGCTGGCCTGGGGGCGGGGAGCCAGGCGAATGGTGGGCACAGGGACATGGGAGCCCAGTGGGTGAGCGAGAGAGGGGGCCATGTGGTCAGAAGAATAGAGATTTGAAAGGGGACGTAAATGGGCTTTACCTATCTCAAATTTTACTTCAAACCAGCTGTGACAATGGATGAATAACTGCTTTGGATCTCTTTGGTGAAAGCAGTTCACAGACACACCATGTCCTGACTCCTAGTTGAAGGGCTTGTGATGTTGGCACCTGCCCAACAGCCTCTGAGAGTCACGCTGTGTCCCAACGCCCATCCCATTACAATTGCTTGTCCTTGGGCTCACTGCCCCTTAGTCAGGGCTCCTTTCTCTCAAGGCTTTCACTAGGGAGGCCCCACACTGGTCCTTTAGATGGTTCAGGGGAAGGCATCACAGAAGAGATGATCAGAGGATTAAAGAATAAAGAACAGAGGAAGTAGTGTGCCGAAGACACTAAGGTGGGAAACAGCATGGCCCCTTCAGGAAACTGCAAATTGTGTGGCCAGAAATGGGGAGAAAAGAGAGGAATGTCACCTGGGGAGGGCCCATCTCATGGATGGTCTTGGATTCTGTGGATACGAACACAGAGGCTCTTCACCTGAGACTATAGTCCCTTGAGGGGGAGTAGTCAATGAATGGGTTTAAGGGGCTCCATGATCCAGCCTAAAATTGTATGCAAAATGTGTGTGTATTTTTCAAGGAAGAGTTTATGGCTGCAATCAGATTCTCAAGGGGGTCCATGATCCCTAAAAGTTAAGAACTACTTATTGGGTTGGGGAAGCTTAGAACCATCGAGGGTCTGAAGTGGGGAGGAGGCAAAGAAGAAACGGGTGTGGTTGAGGTTAATGAGTTGGAGTTGACAGGATTTAGTGTCCCAGCAGATGGTGGAAATGAGGCAGAGGGAGCAGTTCAGGTTGACTCCCTGGTTTCTGGCTAGAGTGACAGGAGAGACAGAGGTGCCATTAATGGGCGTCTAGGGAATATGGTAGGGGAGGTAGACACCATGAGGGAGAGCTGCCACCAGCATCATCCTCATGAGGAGATAAAAGAAAACAAGGCACATTTCCTCTGGTAATTTGCCAGCCTCTGCCACAGAGAACCTGACACCCCTCAGGCCGTCCCCGAGCCAGGGATGCAGCAGCATCAGGCTCACTTGTCCCTCACAATCAGGTCCTGGTGGCTGTCAGCTCTCGGGACTAGCACGACTCTGCACCTGGGCAGGCCGGTCCATGCCCAAAACCCAGCAGGCAGGGTGTTCTGACTGTTTGGAGACACCTGGTTTGTTGGGAAAAACTGTGCTTAATGGCCAAGAACACAGTTGCTTCCACTCAAAGGTCCAGTTAGAATAGTTTCACATAGTAACTAGTTTGTTTTTATGAAAACACCATTCATGAATCAAGTAAGTATCATCTCCTTTAAAAATATTTGGTTTGGGTCCATCCAAAGGCAAAGTCATTATACATTTTGAGAGGGTGGTTTTAATGAATCTAAATGGAAATGGTAAGAGAAAAAGAAGACTAACAACTAAATGGGTACCTGTCACAAGTTTGTATTAATGTATTTTCGGCCGAATCAGTAACAAGTTACCTAAAACCAAAACCTTGATGAATTGAATGAATGTGGTGAAATATGTCATTTGCATACATTTTGAAACATTTAAAAGCCTTTGTGTTGACTGTATGCTCTCATTATAAGTCCCCAGTGCTCCCTCATCTTTGAAGATTGTTAATCCTACACTTGATTCTCTCACTTTGGAATGGGATCCACCAAGCCACCCGAATGGCATTTTGACCGAGTATACCTTAAAATATCAGCCAAGTAAGTTATTGGCAGGAGGGGAAGGGAAAATGTGGTTTTAAAAAAAGCTTAACTGTTATTTTAAAATACAAGCTGTTATTCCAGAAATAACTTCAAATCTTACTTTTTAAAGAAAAATGGTGTATGTGCTATTGAAAATTAAGTAATCTATAGAATAATACAGACCTTTGAGGGTAGGGTGTAGGTGGGTGCTATCCTTAAATTAGGTGGGCATTATCTGAAACTAGAAAATAATAAGTTCGTTGGGCACAAGGACGCTGAAGAAAAGGTTTGAGATTATTTAACAGCACAAGACTCCACCTGCAAAACCACAGAGATAAAAACATGCTATTTTGATCCAACCATAAAATTCCCCTAGTTTATAAGCCAATGGAGAACATATTCCTCCTTTTTATATTATATTATAATTTATTGTATTGTATTATAATTATTAATTATATTTGTAAAATTATATTTTTTATAACGTTATAGAAGCCGTGAAAGGTTATCACTTAGTTATGTTAGGATTATAAAAGACAGCGTCAGCCAGGTTTGACATTTTTGCTTGACACATTTATTTATAACAGTATTCCTATAGCAATTAATGGGGAACACACTTTGTTCTTTCTTATTGGCAGTTAACAGCACACATGAATTGGGCCCTCTGGTAGATTTAAAAATTCCTGCCAACAAGACACGCTGGACTTTAAAAAACTTAAATGTCAGCACTCGATATAAGTTTTATTTCTATGCACAAACATCAGCAGGATCAGGAAGTCAAATTACAGAGGAAGCAGTAACAACTGTGGATGAAGGTAAGATGGGTATGTATAAAATCCATATAAATATAAGTATGGAATGAAAATCTTTTACTTAAGTTTATGCTTTCTCTTTCCTTTCTGCTATGGAGTATCCATCTTACACAATTAACAAAAACGCTTATATGTAATTTCTCATTCCCATATTAAATCAGTTAGTTCACATTGGAATGTCTATTTGGTATTTGTTTTTCAAGCCCATGTGAAATTTTAAATTTATATTAAAATATTGAGGTGAGAGTGAGAAATTACAATATGTGCATGTTTGAACTTGAAGTCCAAGGCAACATCTTTTCCTATGTACAGCTTTATATACACACACCCATACACATATATATAATACACATATATATATATATGCATAAATAGATAGCACACTTTTATACTCATAAATATATGTAATTCTAATTCTTTTTCTAACTCACTAGCCATAACTTGCTAGTCCACATATTGCTTCAGGTTTTCTAGCAAGGAAATCAAAACAGGTATTAAATAGTGCATTTATTTTGTATTTGAGCAAGGGACTTTGTATTTTGGTATGTCATCTGGTAGAGAAAACAAAATAGCCCTATTAAAGTATTTAGAAAAGGAATTAACACTTCCTTTAATATTTTAAAAATTATTCTGAAAATTTTAGATTCAATGAAAATAACCAAAAATATTGTAAAAGATTTTGTGGTTTTGCATGTCTCTAAATTGTAGAACTGCTTAAGGATTATTCATTTGGTGATTTTTGCTAGCATTAAGAAATTGACATTTCTGTTCAAAAATTGGTTTGCAATGTCCTAAGCCTTCTTAGATAACAGACAAGTATGTATAATGCACTTTAAGTAATATGTGAATTTGAATAGTGGGTAAGTTTGGGGACACCAACATATCTTTGTCCCCTGTAGTTGATGTGGTGCACTTCCTTCTTGCATGCTTTAGCATTTTAATGACTGTTTTTGTATCACTATACATGCTCATGGGTGTGTTACATCTAACTATATAGTGTCCTATTTCTGTTTCCCTTCATTAAAGCTGGTATTCTTCCACCTGATGTAGGTGCAGGCAAAGGTAAAATACTTCATCTGCATGACTTTATAGATGTGTGAAATTTGCGATGTTAAACGTGGGGAAGTGCAGCATGGGTAAAAAAGAGAATATAAAATATGCTTGGAACCACCAAAAAAAGAAGATCTTGGCAGATCTTGGCTTTAAAATCAAACTCTAGTCTTTTTTACAAGTAGAAGCCACATATTGAATTCTCCCAAAATTTTTTTCTCAAGACCTATCCCTGGTACAAATCCTAATATTAGCTTTTAATATGTGATTTTGGCTGGATCAGACAGGACCAAAACTGTGGATTTGTCACCAATCCTCTATATGGTCATGCCACATATTAAGGTTCAGAAATATTAGTCCTGTAATGAAAACAGTCTGTGAGAAATTGGATCAATCAAGCTTCCCATTCTAATCTGATTTAGCAGCACTCCTTGCAGACACACCGTACGCTCTGCTGGCATTACACAACACAGTCCATTTGGAATTTTAGTTTAGCAATACCCTTCAACTGGTTTGGTACCAAAGTTTACCCCACCAGGATTCCCTTACAAGCAAGTCTTCCAGTAAGCCTGCATGCTCTGCTCAATTCTGTTATTCCATCCTGTCTTCACCAAACTGCTCATCTCCTCCTCCTAATTACCAGCAATCCATAATGGATTATTTTTGTCCTCCTTTATTTCTGACAGCTCTCTGGGTCAGAAAGATTTGTTGGAATAATGGTGCTTGAGTATGTTGTAATATGTCTTTCACCTGTGACAAGGACAAAGACACCACCACCCCCTGCCAATCTTTGACCTTGGCTGTTGGTTGACTAGTTAGCTTGTTAGAGAGCAGTGGAGTCCCTGCCACTGGGCACATTTTCACATGGTGAGGGGTTTTCCTGGGCTTTGACAGATCAAATGAGTGCAAATAAGAATAAAGAAAAAGAAGACAAAGAGAAATAAGTGTTTTGCCCTATGTTATTTAACTCTTGTGAGCTTTCTGTTGATATGCTTTTTTCTATTTTCTTAGAAATTTGTTTACATTCAGAGGCTTAGTGAATTATAAAATGTAGATCAGATAGATTTGGGAATGATTTAATAAGAACTATAGCCATTTTCAGTAATCTTAATAATGTTATATTCGTGCTTTTAGAATTGAAAGGGCAAAGTTGTAAAAATTCAAAATTTCTACAATATTGTAGAAGGATATAAACTTACTCCCTTTTATATGTATAATTAGATATCAATTAAAATCATTGGTGGTTTTACAGTAGTTTGGTGCTATATAACTTTAATTGAAGCATTCCAGTTAAAAGCCTGGTTTCTTCTCCTACACAGCAGACATGTCACTGTGGCTGTGCCTAGAGTTGGTAGCAAAGAAATTGTGCTTCAACAGACTTGCAGCAAGTCTGAGTTTTCCATGAACTTGTCATGTTAGAGGAGGATATATATTCCACTGGAAAAAATATCACCCCATTTTTAATAAATTAAAACTAAAAGAGATTTTTATCAAAAGAGTTTTGGTTTTACCATTTGATATTAACTAAATTACTTATGATTATAGAGACAATCAAAAATGCAGTGTCTGGAAGTTCATTAAGTCCCCCGTATAAAAACCTGATGGATCTCAGATAAGAATAGTGTATAAATAAGAAAAAAAAAGCAAAATCTGACCTTATTTTCAATGTTGTTTCTTTTAAAAGTGAAAAAATAACTACACGTTTTTTACATAAAAATGATGATATTTTACCATGGTAAGACTTGAAACTGCTTTACCATAATTTATGAATCTGGGTTTTTCTTTCTTAAAAATATTTTTTTTTCAGCCTAAGAATGAGTTCTGTCTGCTTGTCTATTTTCCTTCTCCATGTGGAGTTTAGATGCTAAGGAGAAAAATAAAAGTTTTCCACAGTCCTTCTAAATTTTCAGTTTTTAAGGTATCTTTTATATTTTAATTTAAAATATTACAAAAGGGAATAAATAAGAAATGAATCATTGAAAGAAAACATGTGTGATGTCTTTAGCTATAGAAGCATCAACATCTAATATGATTTTATTGAGTTGTGATTTTATGAAAAATGATTTTAATTCACTCTGGTCATAAAGGGGAAAAGAAATGTATCTGAGTTTACATTTTTAAATTTTCTTATAGATTTAAAGAGATGTTAATGAAACCCAATCTTTCAAATATATTATTGCAAAAGGATGATTTAAACCATAAAGTAGAAGCCAGGACAATTCAATTAACTGTATTATGCCATACGGTCCTTCTTCTTGCCATTGTCTTCAATACAACTAATCAAGCATGGAAATATTCAACATCTTTAGGAATCATTTATTTTGGTCCATTCCCTTGTTTGATTAAGGCCCTCAGTATTTGTGTAAGAACTGGAGTTGTTTGGCTGTGTTTGTTCAATTTCCAAAATGCAGATAATGGATTTATGTTCCCAGTGTTGCCAATGGATCAATACTGCTCTATCCATAGCATTTTACTCTGTCACCTTTGGGATCAACCATCAGAACACTTCTGTAGAGTGAACAGTTGTTGTACAGGAATAGGGAGAAACTATCTGGCAAGGCAGGAACTGAATCTTCATTTTTGACCTCATTAGCAGCCTACTGCGGTCTACTAGTTAGGACTGAGCAGAGAAGGGCTTTGAGGAGCAGCTGGTGATGAATCCTTTGTGTGATCTGACTCTCGGTATATTATTTTACTAGAGTAAATAACCAGCAAATAAAAAATCAAATTTAAAGTTCACACCTTTATTTGGCCTGAACAAAACGAAACAAAATAAAATAGATGCATGGAAGGCTCAGTCAGTTCAACAGCTAATGTCGGTCTGGCATGGAAAACACACCAGCCTTTTTTAAGACATCATGTATCAAGATGGTAAGACAGACCCTGTCTTTGACATGTTTAAAATCTGGCAGGTAAGAACAGCACATAAAAAGAGTAATAAATAGATGCTAAACTAGTAGTTTAAACAAATTGTTATCTGAGCATAGAGGACTGAACCATTTCTGAGCTAGTCCATGAAGCCCAGTTTTGTTTTGTTTTGTTTTGTTTTGTTTTTTCAGATGAGTTAGGGGGTTGGGGCATGAGGTTGTAGGGGCACAAGGTTCAGTAAAGGCATGAGGTTTGAAACATAGAAGCTGTTTGGGTTATACCCAGTATCTGCTTGGCTGAAATGCAGAGTGTGTGGAAAAGAGAAGACCCTGAGAGGTGGCTGAAGCAGTAGATGGTGTCATGAATGCCTTTCTAAAGAATTTATTTACCTTTAGGCAGAGGTAAGCCATCCAAGTTTTAAACAGGGAAGTGACCTCATATAGTTACCATTGTGTGTGTGTGTGTGTGTGTGTGTGTGTGTGTGTGTGTGTGTGTGTGTGGAGAATACTTAGGATACACTCTTTCAGCAAATTTCCAGTGTATAGTACATTATAATCAACTGTAGTAACCATGCTGTTCATCAGATCTTAGAACATATTCATCTTATAACAAAGCTTGTACCATTTGACCAACATCTCCCCATTCCCCACTACCCAAACCCAGACCCTGGTAACCTGTTTCTCTAAGTTTGACTTTTTTAGATTACACATATAAATGAGATCATGCAGTATTTGTCTTTCTGTGTGTGGCTTGTTTCACTTAGTGTAATGTCCTCCAGATTCCATGTTGTCACAAATGGCAAGATATCATTCTTTTTTAAGGCTGAATAGTATTCCATAGTGTGTATGTACAGTTAGGTAGATAGATACATAGATGCCATAACTTCTTCATCCATTCATTTGTCAATGGACACTTAGGTTGTTTCCATATATTGTGAATAGTGGTGCAACGCATAGGGTAGTGCAAATACCTCTTTGAGATACTGATTTCAATTCAATAAAACTGGAAACAAAATAAAATGAAAACTGTTTAGAGAAGAAACTCTAGGAAGTAAAGAGAAGAGAGCATTCATAGAAACCACTCTTAAAAAAAAGAGTAAGCTAAATGCTCTTCTGTTAGAAGTATTTCGTTATGGTTCTGCCTTGAACATCTTTCATAATTACTCCAGGACTAAATTCCTTAGTTCCATGATTCCAAAGTCTTTAAAAGAAAATTAACGTTTTCCTGAGTTCTTTACCACTAATGTTTTACACATATGTCCATATTTACTATCTCTGCTAATTGAGCATTTTCCTATAATTATCTATTTCTTAAAGAAAAACATCTGAGAAAACTAAAATTAATTAGGTCTGCAGAAGGACTGTACATAATTCAATAACCAGTTTTCCTCTCTGCTGTTTTCCTGTGCTTAGTAGAAAGAGATACAAAATATACATGTGTTCAATTATATTCCAGAGATCAAGTGCATTATTTAACCTCTTTAATTTACTTCTCTTCATGATCCTAAGAAATGCTGTTTCATTAACTTTATTTCAGCCTTTAGCTTCTAAGTTACATATTTTAGAATTTAATTTTGGAGTCTGAGTAAACTCATTGAAGCTTTCTGATTTCCTTTCCTAGCATATTTTCTCTGGGATAATAAATTGTTCCTCTTAACTATCCAAGTTAATGTATCTGTAAATATGTCTTTTTTAGTTCAAGCTATAGAGGTAGGGCTTATAAAATTATCAGCCTTAGATATTCAAGTAACATTTTCTAATGACTTTAGATATCACCTTTACTCCGTAGCAAGCATAAAGCATCATATGGTCTTCATAATTTGGATTTCTAAGAATCTATTTAGGTTGCACTATGATTTCTCAAAAAATGCTATTCTCAGAAAACACTGAACAGGTAAGATTATGTTGCTCTCTGGAGTGTGTCAAGTGAGATAGTTCTCACTCCTTTTGTTTCTTTCTTAACTTCTGATAGAGCACATTTGGCAATTCCTTTTGCAGCTTCTCTTTCAGCATACCCTAACCATCCAACATTTTCTAAAGCAGGAGCTCCTCACCTGGGGTCCCTAAGCTCCCCACAGTCAGATTCTCCAAGAAGTCCATGACTCAACACAAGTCAAAAGCCACTATTCTAAGGAGTATTCTGTCTCACCCTAACACAAATTCTTTAAAGACCTGCGGTGAGATGACAAGTAGAATTGAAAAGTTGCCACAGAGTATTGGGTTTTACCTTCAAGTCTCTGATATTCCGTGATGACTTTTGTCCCTGGGATGGTTCAGCAATTTCCTTCCCCGTTATATATCAGTAAATAGAGACTGTGATGTTTCCTGGGACTGTATCTAATGGACAACAGTTTACATTGTTCAGAATCCATATAACAGAACTCATAAATTTTAATATTATACATCATTATTTCTGATTATTAATTTATTTCCTGATGCTGTAATTTAATAAATGAAAAATCTTTCTGTAATGAAAGTACAGTATGAGTGAACCCTAAATTTTAACAGTAAATTCTCATTTAATTTTATTTGCACAATTTCAGAATCTCTAAACTTATTTTATATTTGTGTGTATGGCTCTGCAATATGATTGTTTGTTTGTTTTATTTTTCTATTGTATGTTTAGTTCAAGCAGTAAATCCCAGGATCAGCAATCTTACTGCCGCAGCTGCTGAGACCTATGCCAATCTCAGTTGGGAATATGAGGGACCAGAGCATGTGAACTTTTATGTTGAATATGGTGTAGCAGGCAGTAAGAAACAATTTCATTACCCGATTTTTAATTTGGGGGATACATTTCAAGAGATTAAGAACACTTTAAAGATTTACTATGTACTGTCTTGAAAAATAACTTGATCCAATTAAATGAATCAGAGTTATCTTAAAAAAGTATAGTGAACCATCAGCCTATATATTTTATACATAACTAGGAATCCCTTTCTTCGTATTATTAATAACAAGGGGTGTAAGTTTCATGACATATATTATTTTTATATCATGGTGCTTAAAAGTGGTTCTATATCAATAACATGTAAACAAGAATAATAATGAACAATTATATTTGTAAGTACAAAACAAGCAGGAAAGAAGGAAAGTTCTTTCAAATTGGACCTTGAAGTAGCTGAAGGCAAACTGACTTGAAACCATTCATTTTGTCCAAACTAACACAATAGAATTTTACAAGAAATTGCAGAAAATTAACACTTTGGGAGAGCATCCGTTATGTTTCAATGTTTGGTGTATTCCCAGCTCAGGCACTCTACTTACATCCTGGCCACATCTACTGGGAGATGGGGCAGCTTTAACTTGCAGCAGATTTTGAAAACCCAGTGCCCCCTCCTTAACGTAATGTGCTCTACATATAGTGAATGTTTGTGACAAAATGTTCAATGTAGTCCAACTTTCTGTTTAGGCCTTTATCATGCAAATAAATATTATTAGAAATAATTATACCTTTAGAAAAGCCAATACTTGAAAAATATTGCATCTATGAATTGGACAGATTTGAAGGCATCAAGTTTACCAAATGATTCATCTTGTGAATCTTAAAAACTGATTCTTCCCATAGTCCACTTAAGCTATTTAATGTATAACATTTCTTTCTATAAACATCTTTAGAGAAACTCAACAGTTTCATAAGACAAGGTACAGATGAAGAATCTTCCTTTGCATTAAAAAGAATTAATACAATGAGAATATATGCAATCTGTATATAGTTTTTCTTTAAGGATATTTTCATGTAGGTCATCATTTTAGTTGATTTATTTGACATGACTAGATTTATAATAACCCAAAACGGTAAACCTAAGCATTCTAGATTTTGTCTTTAGCTTATAAAGAATTTTCCTTTCTTGAAGCATTAAGTGACTTCTGGTCCCTTAAAATATTCAAATTTGTTGTTTTTGCAAAATTTCCATAGGCAAAGAAGAATGGAAAAAAGAAATTGTAAATGGTTCTCGGAGCTTCTTTGGGTTAAAGGGTCTAATGCCAGGAACAGCATACAAAGTTCGAGTTGGTGCTGAGGGGGACTCTGGTTTTGTGAGTTCAGAGGATGTGTTTGAGACAGGCCCAGGTGAGGCACACACCACACCATTTCTGGCTTACGCTCAGAGGTAGAAGCCATCGGGCACTCAAGTCGGAGTGGGGGCTGATGGAGCTGTGTTATGGGTAGGGCCATGAATGTCTTTCTGTGGGGCCCTGTTGGGTTGGGGGTTTTGGTTTTCAATTGTCTTTGGCTCTTTGTATCAAATGAATTGCAAAATTGAGCAAATCATCTGCTAACCACGTTATTGCCAAAAACCATCACAAAAACAGACTTAAATATGATTTTTAACTAACACTATTTAGATAATTCAGTTTTCGAATTATTTACAAGTATATACTTTCCCTCAGAGTTAAAGTGGAATTTTTGAAATGCTTTTGAAGTTGAAATAACTTAATAAATAAGTCACGATTGTTTATATCAAATCGGACTGCAACCCAGCAGAACCCTGCAGTTTGGTTAGAGCACTGATATAAATATTATTAATTGTGTGTGAAACAAGAAATTGTGCAATTCATGTATTACATTTTTCTCACAGCAAATTTGACTGCCTGTATATATTTTAGTTATGTGAACATTATCAAAATACACAAAAAGAAAAGTTTCTAAAGTAAAGAAAAATGTTCATGTAAAATGCAAGGATATTCACATTTGCTCTCTCAAGCTAGAAAATAATCCCTGCTCACTTAAATTTAAACAAGGTTGTGTGGTACATGTTCATTTTATGGTTCATACATCCGTGTTATGTTCAGTCATTTTATGCAATCTTGAGGAAATGTTGCATATCCTGTAGAACCTACAGGCAAAATGTATTTTTTGTGTGTCTCGCATTAACAAAGCATTATGATTTTTAAAGCCATTTATTATCATTTAGAAATTATACAGTCATTGTGGTTTTAAAAGAGAGAAAGACGCCAAAGGTACTCAATAACTTATTAAACTATATTTTTAAAATGTCCATTTGCTATAATCATAATGTTTTAAAGAAACACTTTTTCCGTTATTTTGTTTCTTGTATTTTCATGTCCATTTATGTACATAGTTCTGGGAAAACACTATTAAAAAGGAAATATTTAATCAATTCACAATTAGTTTTACAAGGTTTTTGTTCGTTGTTATTGATAACTTTTTATTTCAAAATACTAAAAGCTCAAGGAGATATTCTGTTCATATACAGCTAGAATGTGATTAATAGTCAGAGTACTGGCACTTAGTCAGCTCTGTACCAGGAAAGTGGTTTTCTCCTTCAGCCCTCACAACAGTCCTATGAAGTAGGCAATGTTATTACCCACTTACGCCTCATATCAATACTCGGAGAGGTGAAGTATCTGCCAGGTCACCCAGCTGGGACATGGCAAAGCTGGGAATAGAAGTTCAGCCTTCCGACACCATAAGAGAGGCCTTCACTACACCCGCTGTGCAAGGTCACAGAGGCCCACACCCGAGGGGAGCAGGTTGTCTCAGAAATGACTGCCACAGTTAGCACTCGGTACATCTATTCAGCTATTCTGGACCCTAAAAACTCCACATAGTTCTGACTTGCAGATTAGTTAGATTCACCTTCAAAATCAAGTTGTGGTGCTTTTTGTCCTTTTACAGGACAAAAGACAACCCCTTTAGAAAATTATTTTTTCCCCAGTGGTGTGATGCCTACAATTCTAGCCAGGTAGTTCGAAGTGAGTCATCATGATGGGTGGTCCATTCTTGCCTGCCAGTGATGGAGAAATGGGACAAGGCCATGACCAGTTATTGTCATTTTTTACATATAAATGTAACAATCAGAAAGAATGAATATTGACTAAGCCCCAGAGACCTGCGTTATTAACACATTCCCTCTTAAGAGCAAATACTGTCCGCATTTTAGAATGCCTCCACTTTACTTCTCTCCACCTCCCTTCCTCTCCCAGTTTACGATGCTCTGTCCTTTAGGACTGCGGGATCCACTGTGGTGTGCAAGCATTGTGATCCACTGCTCCTGCTCCTCTCTCCTCCACACTAAGTTCTGAGATGTAGGAATGTCAGTACGTGGCATGAAAGCATACTGTGTGGCTAACTTTTTAACTCCCTGAGTTCATGAGCTACTTCTCTCTCTTGGTTCTGCCAATGTCAGGGTCCTAGACTCAACTCTCATCTACCCTTGTCTCATGCATCTTCTTACCATGCCCTCTGCCTCCTATAGTCTGGATTTTTAAAGTGTATTTCTTCATTTTTTTCCTATGGCACAAATTGAAAAACAAACGAGACTGTCGGCAGTGTCCTGATGCTGTGCTGCTTCCCCATGACTCCTGGTGTGGCCTAGTGTCACTTCTCGTTAATGCCACCCCACCTGGTGTGACCTAGTGTCACCTCTCATTTGTGCCACCCCACCTGGTGTGACCTAGTGTGACCTCTTGGTAATGCCACCCCACCTCTTCTCCTTTCTTTCTCATTTCTGTTCCTTAATTATCGTGTCTCTTCTCTCATATCACAAAGGATTTAAAGCAGATTTGTTTGTACTGGTCCCGATAGCTTTTTTCTTAACTGCCTCCAGACTTTGGCCAAGATCATTTTTTCCCTTTCCTAAACATTTTAAACTATTTTAACTGAACAGGACGTTTTTATTCATAGTGAATTCTTCATCAATAACATAGAACTAATAACATTTCTCTCACCCTATCTCTTCCACATTTATTCTATGACTCTAAGTACTCAGGAACATTTTCCTCAGAGACCTACTACCACGGAGTGCAGATTATCCATGATGCAACAAGCAACGTGGTCGTAGAAGACTTGTTAAAACTAACTGCTAGGAAACAAAGCAAATTTCACTTCTCTGCCTTATTTTCTATTTTCATATTCTTTATTCAAGTATGTATTTGTTTAATTTATTGCTTTATGTATTGATCAAATAATACTTGAAATATAATTTATTGTAAAAAATTTAGATAAAGTGAAACCCTCTTTTACTCTCCTTTCCATTCCAACTAATACCCACCCATTGAAACTCAGATTCTAGAAGAAAAAGCCCCCAAGGGTGTGTGTGTGTGTGTGTGTGTGTGTGTGTGTGTGTGTAAGAGAGAGACATGCACAACTGTGGTTATGACTTGGGTTTGTATGTTGCAGTTGTGATGATTTTAGAGTGTCCTGAGAATGCTTGAAACTTCTTGTAATTCTGGGCTTTAGATTCCTTCTTGTATGTATGGGAAATCAATAGAGATTATTTCCATTTACACAATTTCTGTTTTACATCAACTTATGATGTACCTATGCAACTGTCTGAAGGGGGACCAAGGGCAGATTATCCACCTAACTGGAAGGTATCTCAAGGCTGAACAGTGAAATGGGTCATTCCATAAGATAAAACAAAGAGGGCCGGCCCAGTGGCGCACTGGATAGTGCGCCGATTGGGAAGCGCGGCGGCGCTCCCGCCTGAGGGTTCGGATCCCACATACAGACCGGTTCCCGCTCACTGGCTGAGCGAGGCGCGGGGGCAACACCGAGGGTTGCAATCCCGTGGCCGGTCCCCGGTCCGGTACGGGGGCAACACTGAGGGTTGCAATCCGTTGCCGGACACGGAAAAAGACAAAAAGACAAAAAAAAAAAAAAAAAAAAAAAAAAAAAAAAAAAAATTTTTTA